TTTCAGCCGAATTGCAAACAATTTGTCAGGAGTACCATAATAAAATAGTAGCTCTAGAAGGGGACAAATTCGACCTAGAGCACTTGATAAAAATGAAAGCATTCGAGGTAAAAATCCATTCCGGGTCAGGACATGAGTCTTGAGCATGAGAAGTCTTGCAACTTCTGCGGCCTAATAAAAATCCCCCTTTTCGTTAAGCGTCTTCTCGCAGTGTCCGGCTACAGGACCAGAGACAAAGTATTCAAGAGACCCAACACTGGCCACCCAAGCAATATATAAAGAGCCAGGGGAAAGTTAAATTTGTGGGTGCAATATTTTCTCACGGCCACTACTCATCTCTGCCTGATGGGTGGTGAGTGATGAATGTCACGGAGAGCAGTTTGCAAACAAAGGCCTGTCTCGCCTGCAGAAAGAGTTTCCCAACATGTTCCTCAACATGTTGAATATGCTCCTCAACAACCATCAGGCAAGATGCAGTTTTGATCCTCAAAACTAACTTTACACGATGGGCGGCCTCAATTGTGCAACGTCTCTAAAATACTATGTATCTGACAATGAATAGGAAGGCAAATGGAAACGTTGCCATTTGTAAGGCCGCTTCATAACTCCTCCTTTTCGTGATTCATCATGTTTGAGCTAGAATCTTCCAAACCTTAAGCATCGCATTTCTCTCAGTTTTTCTCAACTACGTCGTGGTTATTGATTTTTCTTCAAGAAAAAGTCATAGCAATCATGTGAATCCCACCAAGAAGACTTATGACATAGCGCCCATTCAAAGTGAACCAGTTGATAGGGTACGAGTGGGTCATTTAATTGAGAGTAGGTGTCAAAGAATTGTGTTTTGAGCAGACCAAATTTAGAGAAAAATTGTCAGAAAGAAATAGCCTTCTTCAGATCGATGAATGGAAATTCTCCTATAGTTAATTTTGTAGCCTTCAAGCTCTGAGAGAAGCGCAAGTTTTTTTTATTATTATTATTTTATTATTATTATCATTATTTTCAATCATTTGATTTTGAAGAAAATTAATGGAGTACATATTTGTAAGCCTCCGCAATGAAGACAAAAACATAGTGAGTGCTTTAGAAATATCGAATCAAGCACATTGCATCGTAAAGTTACTGAGTAAAAATTGAAAACCTTCGCAAACATGATTAAGTAGCACGCATATTCGATTGTAATATCTAATCGCGGAACTTTTTTACTTAAGCACTCTCGACATAACAACGGGACAAGAGAGCTCGAAGAAATAATTTCATCAATCATCAGATATTAGGAAAAGGAGATGTTAAATTTGTAAGTGGCGCAGCAAGACGAAATGTCCCTCTACGTGGAAGAAAAAAATTATATGGCTGTACCACAGCTTATAGAAGCGTTGCATTAATTGGCGCCCAAAAACCCCCAAAAAGTGAACCGGTGATAGCATGTCGATGTTTGAAGATGAGAACAGAGAAGCTCGACAAAGCCCCTGCTTAAGTTTACCAGATCTGCTTGAGTTTCGATCCATTCAAACCTAAGCCATGGATTAGTTTACTGGGAGATTTTAACGCAAAGATAGAAAAGCAAGATAGTTGGGACAAAATTTTGCAATTAGGGACTACTTGTTTCTGACTCACTTTGAAAACAAAGTAAGTGCCATTAGTTACTACATATTACGTAGTTATAAGTTAGCATTCAAACCTGAACCATGGATTAGTTTAATAAGAGACTTTAACGCGAAGATAGGAAAGTAAGACGATTTGGACAACATTTTGCAACAAGGAACAACTTGCTTCTAACTCATTTTAGAGGCAACAAATATGCCATGAGTTACCCTATGCAGATATGTGATTTTATTTATGAGCCAGAAATAGCAGCTTCCTGTTGCAAATTGTTATCCAAATATCCCCAAGAGCGTATTTGCCGCATTGGATATGACTTTTTCTTATTGAAAAATCAGGATAGGGGTTGTTTTCAGTTTGAAATTGTTTTCTTTTCTTCTAGCCTTTGTATTTCGGTTTTTGATTTCTTAAGGCTTTACTTCCTGAATCTCAACTCATGGAAGGTTGACTAAGCTTTTATCTTTATTTGTTACCTTTGCCAACTGTCCATTGTGAACCCAAAATTCACTCGTAGATGCGCTAATTACTATTTTTCAAACGTTCAAAACTTCTCTTCAAAATATTAATGACCTTTTCCTGAGTTACTATTGGTTTGTTGAGCACAGAAGACTTGTCACAAAAAAATGATATCAGTCTTCACACATAAGTAGATCCTAAGATTAATCTTCTGATAGGGCACTCGAACTTTTTATGAAACCACCCAACACGTTTAGATATTGCCAGGAACTGTCCTGATTATACTCCTCTCGACTTAAAGTCGGAACATGAGGTCACTTTTCAACGTAATATTTTTTAATGTTTATACTCGACTCGATTATTTTTCTAGGAATTTTCCTTAGGATAGATACTTAGGTCCTAGATTTGGATAGGTACCTCAACGCTCTAAATCAATAAAAGAGATTTTGGACTGTTGACATTCTCTTGGATTATCAAAAAGCACCCCCAACAACGTCAAATTTGTCATTTAAATCGTTGGTTAAGCGTCAAAAACGTTTTCCTATTAATAGTTGACTTACGGTCGGTCAGTTAAGTCTATTGTTTATCAAGTCCATTATGCTTGTAATAATCCGAGATTAGATCACCATTGGATTATTGAAACTTTCGTCTCCTTAAATTAACATGTTACGTGGAGAGTGGATGTTTAAATTTACTCCCATGCAGAATTTACCAAGTATTGACCGAACAGTCACCAATATTGAGTCTAATCAGACACTTAATTTGTAAAAACACAAATATATGCTATCGCAATTGAATTTACGATTTTTTCGATTTCGGCCATCAATATTCGCACTCAAAACGCCAGAATATCACACGGAATAAAGAGCAAACTTGGATGAAAAATTGGAAAAACACCGTAACCAGAGTCAAACATTTTTTTGGCTCATAGGTTGCACGCATTGACATCGGCTTACCATTGGTTTGCCGACGTTGGCTTGCCGTCAACAGTCAACATTTGACGTGAGTATCTGATGTTAGTTGATGGGAGTACTCGACGTTAATTGACGCCACTTTACCAATGTCGGTCACAGGAGCTGGACAAGGCACTCAACATATTGAATGCCTGTTGAATCTGTAATGATATTTCTCCTTATTATTTCCGACGTGATGAATCGATCATAACTGTCTTATTTTCGTTTTTTTTTTCTTCAGACGATCTTGAAGAAATATGCAAGGAATTATGGGACAGAGTTTACAATCTTGAGGGTGAAAAATTCGATCTAGAAAGAGATTTTAGATTGAAAGAGTGGGAGGTAACGATTTTTCAGGAATGCCATCCATGCACACACAACCCACATACCGATAAAATGTATCCCTTTAATCCATTTTAATGTACAGAGATTCGTAAAGAGCTCCCAGAGCAAGATAATAATGATTTTAAAATGCAAACTTATTTGAATATGTCTTGATGTAGTGCACTTTTTCAGACCCGAATTTTTTATGTTCCTGATAGATACTTTACATTCATATTCTAATGAGTGCCTTCCTTCTTGTAAGAATGGGCATGCCCTATGTCATAAATCTCCTCGTTAGGTCTCACAAAACATTTTTTTAACACTCTACATTTGTGTGGTTTTGTAGGTACCCATTTTCATGTTCTTATAGGCGCGGTTTTGGAAAGGTGCTAGATTGTCTTAATTCTGAAGAGTCGACGGAGACAAAGAGATAGCTTGAATCTCGGGTAGGATAGTAGAGCAAGCGTACCTGCAAATCAGGCCCGTCGCAAGGGGTACAAAAATTACGGACTCGCATGGGGCGCCTACCCCAGATACCCCAAGATTTCTACCAGTTACTTAATATCTCAGTGATTCATAAGTTTATTCCTCTTCTACTTCCTGTTTTTCTTCTTCTTCCTCTTCTTTCTCTTCTTCTTCTTCTTCTTCTTCTTCATCATCAACTACTATTTCTGCCTCTGTTCTTTCATCCTCCTCTACTCCTCTCTCTTATTCTTCCTTTTTTCTTTCTCTTTTGTCCTTCCTCTCCTTCCTTTATCCATTCTTTGGTCTAATAAAAGGGGAGGGGGAGGGGCTAACGGAAACGTTAATATACAGTGAGGAGTTTCACAGGTTATATGCCAACATTTTTTAGCAATAAATTATTGACGTATCTAAAAAAAAAGTATTTCTGGATATAGCAAGTTCTAATCTCAGTCTTCCAATTAATTGGTATTTCTCCCAAATATGGAGCGCTCTCACGCAAACAAAATACATCAGTCCATCCATATATATGTAATCGTAACCAGTCTGGTTATCAATCCTCTGACAGCATTTGTCTATTTCCTCACTAACATGCACAAGTCACTTCATTACATGTTGCACTCTGGGTTCTCCCTGTATGTAGCACTTTAGATTCCTGTAGCATTGTGTTGTTGCGAAGTAATATACTTAATTCATAACCTAAAAATTCAGCGTGGACTCCTATCGCTGGACAATAATCTGTATGCAACATAGGGATTTGCGAAAGTTAGGATAGCGCGGAAAACTTTTCAAATCATAATATGTTACGTTCAAAGAAATGTATTCCGTATGCAAAGTTTGATCGCCAAAACCTTAATGGTGAGATGGCAAAATGAGGATCAATCGTTGATCTTTTGAAACTTGTGTTGTGAAAATTCAGTCGTTTAACGATCACGAACACGTAAAATTAAAGCCCGGATGATTCACAGCATATCAAAGTTCATTGAATAGGGTTTCTCCCCTTAATCAAATGGGCACTAGGTTGAGAAAAGGCTCGCAGGTTTTGACCGCGAAATAAAGCAGTGCTTACCCGGAAGAGAGATTTCAGCAACCGCTGTCTATACAGAACTAAAATTTTTAGATTTACGTTAAACTTTCGTATTATTTCATTCTTAAACTGACTGCCACTGTTTGAATATCTTACTAATAATCTTTTTTATAATGTAGAGGAACTCAAGAAAATCATCCAGCAATATTATGATCGAATGTATTTATGTGAAAGTCAGAAATGGGATTTGGAACATGAGGTCCGAAAACGTGATTTTGAGGTAAACTGCCTTTGCAAGCAGCTTAAAAACAAAATGAATGATATTTCAAAGACCATGTTATATACGAATATAATGGTTTTACTTCAAATAGAGTGGTTCAATTTTCTATGATAATACTTAGATCAAATTCCCTCTCCCCAACGTGAATTTTTTTTTTCTCATTTCAAGAACTGAGATCACTCCACACAATGACGTGTAATAAAATATGGTTTTCAGTTTATTCAGTTCTTGAGTGTTAGTGAACCTTTTTGCTTACTAATACAAACTCCGCTGATTCATATCTTTATTTACCTTACCTTTTCAAAGTTACATTTTCAGGCTCAAATTAGATAAGTCATCAACGAGAAGTCAGTGGCTCTTCGTTATCCCCCGTCTCACCGTGATAGATCAAGGTTCTTGAGCCTTCATAGCACTCTATGGTTTGGAGGAATATTCATCTCCAAGAGTCCAATCGCGTTAAATTTGCCCAAAAAAATCCTCGACTAATGACGCAACGTCGCATCATACCAATTATTATACTTGCTGCGGTACACAGTAGATCGAGTCCATTAGAAACGTCGGACATGAAATTTTTTACCAAAACTGCAAATTTTGATGTTCATTTCGTCACATTTTAGACTTTATGGGGTGCTTGTAGAGGGAAGTTTCACGAGAAAACCAATGAAACCAGTTTTAGAAACTCGAACTTTTGTATAAACGGAGTTATAAGCGTTTAAAGTTTCCAAATTTTATCCGACCGCTCCTACTGACTCGATCCATTGTGTGGCGATGCTGTTACAACAGAAATTTATAAAAAAGAAACCATAACGAAAATGGAGGACAGTAGAGAGAAGAATGGAAGCAGAAGGTAAGAGGAGGAGGTGAATGGAACATACTTTTTTAATATGATTATTATTAAAACTTCAGACCATTGGTGCCAGGATCAATCATAATAGTGTTTGCTTTTCTGTAAGTTTCAAGCATCAAATCTGAACCTTTTTTTAAACAGAAAAAAAATACCAACTTATTAAACGCTCCAGTTTTTCCTAAACCAGATTTGAGTCTAATTCGATCGGTAACGAGGGGTCACTGTCATCGTTTGCTGTGCATTTTCGGGGCCATTATGAAGTAGCAATCCTCCTTTTCCTGAGAAAAAATGTTCATAGAAGAAATATTAATTTGCTTCAACTTTCTTGCGATTTAAAGACGTCAAAATAGACGTCAAAGAAGGACAAAGGAGTAAAATGATTAATTTCACCAAGCAAACTTTAAGACGTCTTGGATTGGAAGGTTTCGATGAAAGGAAATATTGAGAGGGTATAATGCCAGCAAAAAGAGATTTTGCAAAACAATTCAAGTTTTTGAAATATAATTGAGTGACATTCTTATCCTTTCCAGTTGCAAAGGCATCAATTGAACATTAGCGAAGCAGAGGGGCTCCATGTGCAAGGGGACTTTTAAAAAAACACGTATCCAACAAAGCACAATTATGGATTACACGTTGTTCCTCAGAACTCTTTTTATAGATAGAGTCTCTCTGCCAGATAATATCCAATTGTACCGTCTTGCATGCATGCTCCTCGGTTTACCGCAAGCTAACACTGTTTTCAGCAAACCACATGAATTAGTTATCCAGATTCTCGGTCGATTATATCAGTGAGACTGTCAACCGATCGGTCGGAATCGTTGAATTATTTTTCAATCCTCTAAATCAGTAACGTATTGTAAAAACGTTAATTCTCATGAATACTTTAAAGTTGCATTTTTAAAATGATAATATGAAATATTATAAGCAAATTTAATGACAGCATCTTGCGTGTTTGTTTGGAAGGATAGAAACACTGAAAATAAAATTAAAGTTTTGTCTTGATACTAATTTTATTGAAAACTTTTACGAAATCGTGAATGAACGGATAATTAGCAGTGCTCCATTTATTACGTGCGTCTTGGTGGTCGAGCCAGTTCCGTTTATCCGGTTCGTAAAAACTTTGAATAAAACACATTTTAATGCAAAATTTTAAATTTTATCCGCAGCTATTTTTACTAGCATCGCTAGCATTCACCGTCATTAGTATCATTACCATTGTTATTATTTTATACTTGGCATGATTTTAAAAGTATAATTATTGATTTCTCAATTTACTGAAGGTTCCTCGTTAGTATTTTTGGGTTTTTATTTCTATGTTTTCTCCGAATGAAACTTTTCAAAGGCTAAATATACATAATGTGTGGGAGAGGAAGCTCTGCTTTTATATGCAGGCTGATTATTGAACTTGTTAGACGAAGCGATTGAAAAAGAAGACAAAGGGAAAATGGAATAATCATTCGTTCAGAATACATGTATCGATCAACCTCTTCCTTGATTTTTCTCGCACGCTGTCCGAGGAATATCGTATCGGTAAATCGTTTCGTACTAATCACTCTCCATCATTTTCGCCGAGAAAACCGTAAATTGAACCCTCCTCTTTGATTTAACGGAGAAGTTCCCTTCTTCTTGAAAATATTATGCAAACGGTAGAAAACACGACATAGCGGAATATCAAGAGTCGATGCACACTCCGTAAATCTTTTGTTTGTTAAAGTCTTAAATTAGGTATTGAGAACCTCTGCGTATACGTTATCAGATTATGTGTTGAAATCTCCTAAAGTATCACCCTATATACGTTCCTTTACTATCAACATAGGCTGCTTATGACCGGCTTCCATAATTTTCATCTAAGATGTTCCTCAATGAGCACCTTCCTCTCTCTATAGTTCTATACTTCTTTCGTCTGAACTCGTTCATCTCGGTCTTAATGCATTTTGTTATGTTCGCTTTTCGGAGCACATACACTGCCAGTAGCAAAGCTGGAAATCTTGGAAGGAATGCATAATCCTCATTGCATTCGCTGTCGGAACAAGTCAAATACGTATTTGTTAGAGTTTTTCAAATTGTTAAAATGTTCATTTCGAATATTGACGCATCACGCCGTGATAATTCAGCTAAAGTCCTTTCCCTGCCCTTCATTTTTGCAGCTTTTGACAGGTAATAACCCCTAAATGAGCCCGTTTTGTTCAAAGTTTGGAAATATGACCCAGGTTCTTATAATTCCGTTTATAAAGTTGTGAGTTTTCCCATTTAAACAATATAAATGTTCTTTTTTGTCACAGTATTTTTTAAAGATCTACCGGACCGATTTTCAGGATTTTTGCAGTTTTTTATAAGAGATAACCTCATTTAGATTAACTCACAGGAGTCTACGAAACGCCCTTTGGGGGTTATTTACTACCCATTTAAACCTAACCCATGGATTAGTCTACTTGGAGACTTTAACGCAAAGATAGAAAAGCAAGACAATGTGAACAACATTTTGCAACAGGGAACTATTTGTTTCGGACTCATTTTAGAAACTACATACCTGTCTTTATTTTCCCTAAACAGATAGATATTCACTTGTAGGTAAATGAGCCAGTAACAGTGGTTTATTATTGCAAAATTCGGCCCAGTTCTCCCTTTCTCAACCATTTCTCAACTCCTTCACCTATGACTGTCTGCTAGAAAAGGTACCTTGGTCTACAATCAGTGAAAATTGAGTTTTAATACTTAAGCATAGAGTTTTACTAATCCTTGGAACGAAAATTTCCCAAAAATGTTAAATCGAACTGGAATGATGACTATTTGAAGTTTGAAGTCTAAAAAAAATGCGGTTTTGGGAGAAATCTGTACGGACGCTATTAGTGTTACGTGACGGAAGAGCTACATATATCGATTTATACTCATTGGTAGGATTAGAACTCGATATAATGAAGAGTCCTTATGGCGCGACGCCACCAATTATAGAGTTTTTTAACATTATTCTCTTCTGTTATGGTCAAAGTGCGAAATTGCCGGATAATGATGCGACTTTTGCCTTCCTTTATTATTTAGGTTTAGGGATGGTTTTGTACGAATTTTTTCTTAAACCATAGAATTGTTATATTATTATTATTGTTAATTGTTATACTGTTATTGATATGTTGTTAGTGCTATTCTTTCGAATATATTAATTCGGTTTAGGGGATTAGATTTTTTCGAAGAATTTTCATGTCGTAATCTATGAATCCCATTTTGGGACTCGACGCAACTAAAGTTGCCCTGAACATTTCATCTTCGTAGACCAAGGTCCTTTTCCCCGTTAGCGGTGACTTTCTGAGTCACGAAAACTAAATCCTGATGAATATTCCCGACCCTCTTAATGGAAATCATTCTGAATTAAAATACGCGATTTTATGAATTGGACGTATTTCTGTCAAACGGAACTAAGCGCCAATTTGAGTTCCTTTTGAGGAATTTAGAATGCCGGATAGCGCGTTCTGTCAAACAAAACTAAGCGCCATGGAAAAGCATTGCAAGTATTGGGCGGAAATGAGCCCGACGCCCAGTTCCGCCGCCAATCCAAGCCCCCCTCTACCTTCCTCCCCCGATGGCGCTTAGTTCAATTTGGCAGAAAAACGTCCAATTGATGACTCATCTGATTGGCGTCATGGAAGAAATTTTTTGCATCCAAGAGCAGTGCATATGCCTGAACTGAACAATAGCCTCCCTCAGTCTTGCTCTGATACTCATTAGAGTTCAAATTTTTGAATCTAACAAAGATTTTTGTAAATTTTTTGACCTTGATTTCCCCTGCAGAATAGTGTGGACCCAGCACTATTTTACCATTCTATTGGATACCATTTTTAAGAGGACATACTGTAGGATTTGCTGTTGAGATTTCTCCTTGATAACTGCACCCCTCTTCTTGATTCAAGAGAAAATATTCTACACTGCAAATTCAAGAATAATTCTCCTTAAATCGATTTTTTTCCCAGTGCATCCTCGACCTTCAAGTATCATCGACTTTTGATTTGCTGGATAACTATCCAAGGAAAAAGTCCAAGTACTAAAACAAACAGGTCTGCGGCTCTGACAATGAGAGCCTTGAAATGAATAATATTTTTTTGTTTATCAGAACAAAAATCATAATTTTTTATGAGGAAAAAACGAATGGAAGATACTGCAAAGCCTCGTGAAATTCAGAGATCACTTTTTGGGAAACCATCCAACAGAGTTAACAAAAAGCTTCCTTCCGTTTTTACAAAAAACTTACGGGAGTGATTTTTTTCCTGTCGTTTATTTGGCTTCTATCCCTTGAAAATTTTGAGGGAATCTGCAACCATCTATAGACATACATAGGGTGTTACTAGGGGGTATGTGTTTGGAAAGAGGGAATGTTTTCGTTCCTTGATTTGGATTTTCAGGGTACTTTCTAGGGATTTGTGGTTTTTTCAAGGGGTTAAGATTAAGCCAAAACCTCTTCACGCCTCAAGCCCATCAAAGATACTTCCCTAACCATAGAACTGAACCATTAAAATGACCATAAGGGATAGAATTCACGGAATATTTTGATTTGTAACACGAATCCATACAATCAGGTTCTTCATAGGAGATATAAAAATACATTCGAGACAAAATTCTTTCAATTCGTCGAACTGCTCCGTAATTACTGCGTATTGTTGCGTATCTATAGTGGGAGGCTCATAAGACTGTGGTTTGATTGTCTGCTCATTGCAATCCATGAATTATCGCATAAATTGTCAGGAGCCCTTAAAAATCGGATCATTTTTAAATAGAATGTTTGCAGTAATTATTTTCCAACTTCGTTAATGGTCTACGTCACGCAATAAGTCATTCGTCATCGCGTAGTAATTTTGAGAATGGATGCCTTTTCTATAATTCTCCTCACTCGGGAGTAAGCTCCGTGGTATCTCGTCCTCTTGAAGGCGAGGGGGCTAAGCTCTCTGTAAAATCGTTTTATTTGCGACCCATTTCGAAACGTTAATAATCCATTCTAAATACCCTGAATGTTTTAAAACATCGACTAACTCTAATGAGTATTGATTCTCAGTCTGGAATTCTGATGCCATAGATTTGAAATCAAAGATCTCAATAGGTACGCCACCAATTTAACTTTTTTGACTTACTTAACTTTCAATCACAAAAATATACAACTTCCCACACGGTGCCTCTATTTCTTCGCTTATTCTCGGTTTTGACTGCTAACTGCAACAAATTTTCATTAGGGTAAAAATATGCAGGCCTCTTTTATGGACATCAGATTAATTCGACGAATCATATTTTTTATTACTAGGACTCGAAAAAGTCAAACTGAACTTTGACTTCTCCTGGAAAGTCTCGGTAGAGTAAACGTCATGACATTCTAATCTGCAAAACTTACTTTTCAACCCGCGTACTTCGTATTTTTTCTTCTTCTTTTTTTTATTCACAATCGTATTTTAACATTCATCACCGAGAGGATACAGCACCAAATTTACCTGGAGGGTTCGCAAAAATATTCACCCTCCTCTGATCAGGAACCTTTATTCCCCCTTTGTTGACCTTGTGCTCATTTAGGCATAAATTTATCAAGTAGGCACCTCTATATTATCTATAACACACCATGAAATTGATTTGAGCGACGTTTTATGCGAAGCTAATCGCCACTGAAGATTACTTTTTTATTTATTGTTATTTTCTTTCACGTATATAGACACCGTGGGGAACAAAATTCTAGGTTCAATCCATAGGTTATTCAATAAATAGTTTACCTTGCGTTCCAAACCTAGCTTCGAATAACAGTAGGTACATGATCATTATAAACATCACCGATCTCGGTGTGAGTTCAATATTGATCTTTTGGGTGATATATCTAATATTTATGGAAGGATGTCAAAAATAATTAGTAAGGTAAAATAAATGTGACAGTACTTTTTAAATTTAAGTAACTAAGATATAAATTTTGATGAACAAATTTACAGGTCAAGTATTTATTTCTGATGGTTGAAGCTTTCTTTCTTCCTTTTTCTTTCTCTTCTATTCGTCGCTCACTGGCTTTTTTGTTATTTTCATTTTATATACTTCTGGTTTCCAGTTGCGCGCATGCTGTAACAAAATGCTTAACGACCGCATGAATGACTCAACTGTCCTGCTTATTAGTATGATAACTATTTTCATCTGATTTTTTTATCTTCTCATTTGTTCTTGTGTTAATTAAATTTAAAACTATACTTAGTTAAGACATTTTATTGCTAATATTCTATTGTGAAGATCGAACGTATCCACAATTGTCTTTAGAATTAAATCCGATATTCTTAGCTTACTTCTTCGGTATTATATAATCAAATAGATCCGTACTATTATAACTAGTTATCGATTGCTTCATAATATCACTTTTGCCAAAAGTTATTTCGTACTCTCTGCGGATAAGCATTCATTTTGATCACTTACCTAATTTAATTAATCAATTTTCATTGTAATCAATTTCATTTGTACGTTTTAATTTTAACCTGAGATAAGCGTATAGAGGCTGCAAACATACATGAAACAATTTTAATTATCGAAGAAAGCAAGAGAAACAAAACATGACGAACTAGTGGAGGGTGAGTGATGCAAGTTGATAGTCTCAAAATAATTGGTGGTTCTAGATGATAAGAAAATCAACTGGGATGTTTGAATATGTTATTACGGCGATGATTTGAATAAAAGAGAACTAGAGGTCAATGAACAGAAAATTCAATATGCATAAGGGAAATAGATTCGACAAAAGGAGCATTGCAGCCCCGACATTTTTGTTCAATATTCAGTATTACTAATTCAAGTTTTTCTGTCCTTTTTCTGTTCCCTTCTCTTTCTTTCATTTTTTTTATACTCTCCAAATCTAGATCGCTGACCTGAACAGTCAAGTTAACGACCTAAGAGGAAAGTTGTAAGTATCTTCATTTATCCATCATCATTAATTTCAAATAACTGAAGTAAAATTACCTCAAACAACTTATGATGAGCACTAAATATTCAAGTTAGACTAACCTCATTCTGTAAAAAAATTTGAGAACGAAGATTCACTTCCCTGGTAAAAATTAGCGATAGGAGCTGCGTTTCAAAATACCATAGGAGTTCTTATAGCCGACTATAGAAGGCTATTGAAAATCATATAGCTGGCTGTAGAAAGCGGAGCAAATCATATAGCCGCGCTATACGAAGCTGTAAAAAAGTATACAGTCGGGCTATAGTTCCTATCGCCGGGCTTTACACTTTATCGCCATTGGCTATGGAAGGCTATAAGAAATTGTGTAGAAATTCGTGTGCTTCGGAAATCATTGAGTTTGATACGGAACTACCTTTATATTTACAAAACAAACATTATATTTTCCTTTGAAACATATTTTTTTTTTCATCAATTAAAATGAGAATAGTCAATACAGAGTGTGCAAACATTTCAAAATCATGAGTTGAAAAACGCTGACTCCGCGAGATTACATATTAGAGCCTAACACAAAGCGGAGCGGCGACGCACTGGCGCCTACAAACCTAACAGGGTTACTTCACGCATTGCGCAATGCGTGAAGTATCCTTGTTAGGTTTGTAGGCGCCAATGCGCGTTTTGCGCTCTCTGCCCACCCGCCGCGCCGAATCGTGCCGCGGCGTCTGAAAAGCACTATTTCACACCAGAGGTATTGCACAGTATCATAAGAAATTGAAGGCGCTCCAACATATTAAGAATGACAGGCATCCTTCAAAAGTACAGAGCTTTCCTCGCAAAATAAATCAAGATACTACGGCACAAAAAGAGAGCGGTAGTCCAATAACTAACTAAGTCCTAGTGTCCGCATTTAGTAGCGTTTAGCATAAACTTTATCGTCTGGCTTTTGCTTAATCGCCATCGGCTATAAGAAATTGTACAGTCGGCTACAGAAGCTATTGGAAATCTTACAGCCGGCTTTAGGTCTATAGTATTTTGGAACACACATTCTACTGCCAATTTTTGCCAGGGTTTTGAATTTTGACTCAATTAAAGTTCGATTTAGACCACGACTGTCTCTCAGAATTTGGACTTCAGATATAACTCTAACCTTCGTTTCTCCGCAACAGAAAATGAGGAGAAGAGAAGAGAGCAATTCAATAAAATCGCAAAATCTACAAAATTGTTTATGACAATTTTCGTTAGGATAGCCTCCAATCAATATAAAATGCAGTCAATTTTTCAACATTTTCCGGTGGAGGCCTCTCACACCCCTCTTTGTGCGGGGGAATCTCATATCCCCGAGACCCCTCCCCTCCTCTTTGAATGGAGTTACGATTGAGGACCATTTTTCATTTTTGCTTAACGCGGTCCATATGTACTTACGACTTTTAAGGAAACATTGATTTAAAATGTCATATTATCTCAACTCCAACTTTGAAATTTATTCTTATAACAATTCATTTTTCAGCGTTAAACCCACATTGAAAAAAGTTTCCAAATACGAGAACAAATTCGCCAAGCTCCAGAAGAAGGCAGCAGAATTTAACTTCAGGAATCAACTCAAAGTCGTCAAGAAGAAGGAATTCACACTGGAAGAAGAAGACAAAGAGGTAAATTACCCTTGAGTTAAGTTTCTTATTAACCATGAAATTAACGCGATGAAAACCTTTGTTATACCACTGTAATGAAGTAATAATTTCCTACTTTTCAGCTAGCTAGATGTGATTGCAGATCACTGATTCAACCTGAAACTCTACGTTTAACGAGCATTTTATCTTTCAGTAAATATGTTCCACAGCAGGTACCTTAAAATCAGTATGACTTAAATGGAAAATTCGAACTTTTAACCCGGTATCACCTGTAACTAAAATTCCTGAACCTTCAATTTTGAAATGAATTCATGGGACCAAGATGAATGACATACAGAAATATTTTTCATGATTCTCGCTTCTCATACAGACAACAAATTATACACGAAATGATTGCAGTTTTAGTTTATGTCTTCATTTTCCTAGAACTTACATTTTGGATAGAGTGAGATTTTTACTGGAGCGACAGCATGAGAGACCTAGCTCATCCTCACTGCTCAAAGATTCATTTACTCCAATCCAACTTCGTGTACGCCACATTGCCCGTATACACCCTTCCTACGCATCCTTTTTTCTGTGAGCTCCCTATCATTTCACCTCACTGCAATCCTAAATTTATTGAGCGTAAGACACCGGTTAGAACAAAGATTTGCACGTTTGCCTACGCAGTTTTTGAGGTTTTTCATTTGCGAGAGTTAGCCGATGACCGACGAAGCCCATATTTAAAGGATTTGACTATTTAGGGCCTGATATAATTGTCCCGGTCATTGCAAACAGTTTCCATTTAAAGATCTAGATTGCTAGAATGAATAACTTATGAATGTATACCTAGCAAATACTCGTAGAGAGAGAGCTGAGTTTGAAATGCTGTTGCGCACATCTCGGACGATTCTCCTTCAAAAAATTGATAGGCAAAGTGGGATACTCGGAAGTTGCAATAGTTGCCTGGACCTTTGATGTAAGGACCTGTAAGGACCTTTCATTTTACCTTGTCTTCGAACCCTCTGTCGCATCGCATTCGAATACACATCATTCAAGCTGATAATTTAGATTATAAGTTTGTTCATGTCACTAAAATCGAACTAGTCTCAGAAGTTTTAACCCGAATTCATGTTCCGATTACCTACTACATGTTGCTAACACTGCTTCTTTATTCCTGTGTTTAACCAACAGCCAAAGAAATCAGAGAAAGCGGAGTGGCAGAAGAAGTAACCGACCTGGTGAAAAGACAATACCATCAAACCATTGATTTTTTTTCTTCTTTTTTTTTAGTGGAAAAAAGAAAAAGACACAAAACAAAATATGAAATGCGCAAGTGTTTTTGTTGTGCATCTAGTGAACTTACATCGATGTATCTCAAAACTTTAACACCGCATTCAAATATAAGTTGTTGACTACTCACACTATTTAATCCACCAAACTACGTTTCAAAACCCAGTTCTAAGAAATTCCTTCAATTTTGAACTTAGCAACGAATCAGACATATCTCCAGAACAGAGACACGTGTATAGAAACAGAAGTGTAAAATTTTACGAAGCCGCCTTTTACTCATTTGGACAAAAATTTGTTGCCAAATTTTTGTCAATATTTGCTAATAGATTTACCGCTACATTACCCCCTTGATCATATTTTCCTTTTAAATGCCAGTCGCTATAAATTAATGAGTACAGCAGTTTTCTTGAATGAGATGGAAAATAGATTTCAAGGAAATGGAAAAGTTCATGCTACATTTTTAATCTTCTTAATTTGCACAAAGATTTTCATTAATGAGTATGTATTTTCCCCTCTCATCTTCAAGGCATAAATAAAAAAATAAAATATTTGGTTTTTTTTAAAGAAAATCATCTGTCTAATTTTTAGACACGATCTGAAAAAAAGCAGCGCATCAATTATTAGAGCTTTTTTAGAGGGATGATGATATTCATGTCATAGCCCTTGCAATTATGGAAATGTCACATCTAACCCTAATATATGTTTTTTGAAGCACTCACGTAGTTTTTTTCGGCTGGTGTAGTTATTTAAAATTGCTTAAAATACGTAAGAAAAGTTAATGTACAGGTACATAACATAGAATATATTAGCAAATAGGAATGGTATAACTCTTCATGTGTTTATCTGTAATGGCTGAGATTTTTACCATAATGTGCATTCGTCCAACTTTAAAAAGAAAATCCTTCTTATCCTTTTTTAACTTGCAGTCATTCATACGTTTCACATCCCCACCCTTCCGTTTTTATGTCCTATTACTTTTTTAATTTTTTTCCGAGCCATAACTATTTTTATTTGTGACGTCAGCTCATGTTCCACCTCGTTTCCATAAGCTACCCTATAATTTTTAACTTTTAAACTTTTTCTGGAGTTCCTGAAATTTTAAGTATGGGAGCCTTTTTACTGCGGTTGAGAGGTGTGACGTATGAAAAATGTAAGTGGCATGTTATGGTTTCGAGGAACACTCCTATCTGTCACTATGAATCCCCTCGAGTCACTATTTTGAATTGGAATTCTTGGAGAACATAGTATAAAAAACAACATTTCCGTGACTTGACGCCCTCTTCTTGGTAAGGCGAGGAGCGATACCTTTAAATGGACTAAATTTTGCAATTAGGAAGGAGCTATATACCTTTTCTGGCTTATTTTAGAGAAATTATATGTGCCATTAGTTTCCCTATGCAGTTAAATACTTTTATATATTAGCAGGGGCGGACTGGCCATGGGGGCGGGGAGGCGATCGCCTCCTAACAATTTGCCGCGGAGGTCCCGAAGGGGCCCCCGCGGCGAATTTTTTTCGAGTCATCATTTTTTTCCCGTAATGTTGTAATTTTCCCATCCTTCTCAGTCACTAAAAGGACCTGAAATCCTTGAAAATTTGTCTCTAAGAGACATGAAAGGTCGCCTAAAGCTTATGTGATGAAGGGACCCCCGAAGAATCCTGAGAATGGGATATTTTGAAGTTCAAGTACTATAGAATCCAACGCCAATAATGCTTAAAATTGCGTTTATAAAGTGTGAAATTTTCAAAATTTTTCGGGGGAGGGCCCCCGGATCTTCTTAGAGGGGCCCCCGAACGACAGGAGGGGCCCCCACATTTAGGTCGCCTCCTAATTTTTCGACTACCAGTCCGCCCCTGTATATTAGCTTGGAACAATAACTTTTTATTGCAAAATGCAGTCCAAATGACAGGTCACTCTAAAGATGCCTACCGACCGCTCCATGCAGTGGCGAGGCAAGAATGATCGATTATCGATTTCCCCATTTGAAGCTCCGGTAAAGAGTCGATTATTATGGTGTTCGTCGCTAACACCCTGTTTATCGACCATTTTCCGTAGGTTTAAACTGCAGATCAATCGATATATCGCAGAGTACGCCGCGCCACTGGCTCCATGATAGGAAAGTCAAGTCACTTCCTTTTTCCGGAATAGTATTGGTCTCTCATTTTAAACGCTCCCTCCCTCGTCCAGCTCAAATTGCCGCGGAGACAAATTTTTATGTGCTTTTGATTTTTGCTCACACGTATATCCTGCTTCCATCCTCCTCCTCCTCTTTTCTCAGTGCGTAGTAACTTCCTCAAATAATAATTTCGATGAAGGAATATCTTACGAGCATTTTAATGCTTTTACAATCAAAGAACATGCTGATATTTACAGAATATAAGTAATTATAAAGTTTGAAGAAAAATACACGACAACAAATGAAAATATCTGTCTCGATAAAAAAAAATTGAGGATTAAGGCGTCATTTTATGTTTGCTGAGCATATCTGCCCGGTCAAGAAATCGAATGTACAGATAAATATAGGTTGCTTTTACAAATGCATAATTGGATGAATTGAAATATCGTCGTAAATATTGCCAGTATCGTGATTGAACACTGTTTATCTACTGGCAGAACTCCAAGTTTGTTTTTGTGAAGGAAATTTTTCTTACGCCTATGGCGTAGCAAAAAAATTCATGCAAGGCGCTTGAAAATTGGGTTGCACACAGAGCCGGATTTAGGATATTTGGGCCCTCTGGCACAGTCTGTGGTACGGGCCCCCCGAAAAAGCACTTCCTCGAAGAGGCGGGGGAGGAAGTTGAGTGGTGAATTGGGGGAGGGGGTCTGAGGGGCCTCCCTGCTTGATAAAATTTGAATGCGTTCGTAAGCTAAAAACCTTGATGCATTTTTTAGCACACATTAAAATGGAAAAGAGGAAGAAAAGGACCTCTGTAAACGAAAATACAAGCGTATAAGAAACAAAGAAAAAAATATGGGATGAAAAGGATATGTACGAGAAAAATTAAAAGATCTTATTGGTGGGTTGGGGGGGTTGGGGGGGGGAGGAAACTCTGTGGTTCGGCCCCCCTATCGTAAATCCGGCACTAATTATACAAAACTTAGTCGCAGAGAAGTTAAAACAGAGTAGAGACAAACTCCTGATGCTTTTCAGTTTTTATCATCGATATTTCAATTGGTCCATGAAATATACAGCAAAAATTTATCTAGATAGAGAGAAAAAAAGTCACATTAAAATTAAATTAGTTCAGGTGGTACAACAATCAATTTTACCGCTAGATGACGTAAATGCGTAAGATACTCGATTTTAGACTCGTGTAGGACGTTTTATGTCAATGAAAATTACCCATGGATTAAATTGTTTAATTAGTAACCAGTAACTTGGGATGTGAGCGTGAGCTCATCATCCCCTGGATTGATAAATACAAAAATTTGTCGAAAATAAAGTGAAATTGAAGGGGGTACGAGACAAGGATATGGTCGAAAGCCTGGACTTCGTTAAAAGTAAACATAAGTTCGAAGGTGAGATTATTTACAATTTTCTTCTCTCTGAAGTTCATGATTTCCCAGTGCTTATTTTTGTCGCTTTGAAGATCTGTTTGATGCCGTAAAGCAATTTTTTTTTTTCACAACACGTTAGCAATCAGCCAGTAGCAGTCATCTTGTAAATATTATTTTCACACGCTTCGGTTTTATGTCATAATATGTTTACTCTCAACAACGTCATTTTTCAGTGTTTGTCCTTCTTATATTTTTTTTTCTTTTTTATTTCTCTCTCCTCTTCCCCCTCATTACTTATATTTGCAGCATTCTATGAATTCATTTCGCAGACTTGTTGAAAGCTGATGCGCGGATGCGATACACGGTCACTATTTATTGCGTTTCAAATTTTAGACTCCGAAAATATTTTCAGATGCGCCTTGCGTGTTTTGGATTTTGATGGCGGGCAGGTGGCAATTATTATCGACTACGAAAGTCGAAAAATACGTATCTTCATTACAAACTTGCTGATTTCCTCTCGTATTTTTTTCTTCTCGGTGGGGAAACAATTCATCATTATTTCATTTAATTTATTCTGAATCTGACAATAATCTGACCTATTCCGTGCAGATCATAAAAAATTATATAATTTGAGTTTCAACGGTGAAGCGTGAATGATCGCTTATCGGTATTTCCCCATTTGAAGCTAAATGGTGAGGAAGCAATTATTTAGGTGTTCGATGCAAACGCCCTGTTTATCGATCCTTTTCGATAGGTTTAAACGGCATAACAATCGATATATTGCAAAGTACGCCACGCCACTCTTGTGTTTGCTCGTATTTGATAATTATTATAATTATCAGAAAATAAAATAAAAAAGCGGTAACTTGGAATTGTTTCAATCGGAATACTTTCTGATTTTCACCAATGCAATGAGACCTTCGGCTCCTTTCTCACGGGTTTATAAAGCATAGGGTACATAGAGTCGTAATGTAAGTGGGTGAGCTGGCGCCACTTTTAAGCATTTTCCAGGTCCCGAATTCCGAGACTCCTGTGTAACGCCGGGTCACTTTTTCGATACATAATCGATTGTTTGCGATACACAGGTACCCGGCCATCCGATGTAAACAAAGAAGACAGGGATCACCACGTATTCCGCACCGCCATTTTGAATCGAACTTGTATCGAAAAAGTGACCCGAACTCGGCGCACACCGGGCTCGGAACTCGTCGAGCAGAACATGGCGCCAGCTCTCCCAATTACATTACGACTCTATGTACTCTATGTTATAAAGATGCAATCTCAGTTCTGATCGTACAAAAAACCTAAGAGGGAGCATTCGTTACTATCATTCCCGTGTTAGGTATAACCGCAATTATGCGAGGAGTTAAGAATTGTAGGGGAATACTGAGGGGTTTTTTTTCTTTTAGTTGTTTCACCTCGCCAGCCAATGCAAGCTTTAGCTCTTCAGCGTAGCTCTCTTTGCTGCTTAATCTCTGGATTATTCCGATAAGCTTCACAAACAAAGTCTGAAATTATTCTGCTTCTTCTTCCGCGCTACGGCCTCATGCGGGTTTTTTTTCTTTCTTGCAATTTCCCTATCAGAAGTAATAGTTTTCATCATTCTTTCATTTTCTCCACTGTGTTTCAAAAAATGCAGTCCGTATCGCGGTTTACGGAGAATTTGAAACATATTTTGCAGAAAAAATAAAGAGAAAGACGGCGAACATTTTGGACGTGTAATCCTGAGGATTAAAAAAAAGACCGACGGTTCTCACTTTCATTGAGTGATCATGATTAAATTGGCATAAACATCGGTGAGATTGAATATTTATTGTGCAAACATTAAAAATTGGTATCCTCTTAGATTTTTGACTCACTTGATTCCAAAATGTATTGTTGCGTTTTACTCAATCCACCCCTTACCCGATCCTCGGATTATACAAGAGTTTAATTTATTCTGATCATAGTGTTTCTGGACTTCAGCTATCAGCGCTAAAGTAGTTTGATTCACGTGCCAAAAATATGATGTTTTACTGTTTTTATTTTAGCCCTCTATGTATTTTAGTACACATTTGTTTTATTGTTTTAAAGAGATTACATTGATAGTGTATTAACTCCAGCTTGTACAAAGCTTATTTAAGTGTTTTGTAGATTAGTAATGTCTTCTATTTCAAGCACGACAACTGAACGCGGACTAAAATTTGACTTACTGACATTCATTATCTACTGTGCAGCTGCTACAGCAACACAAAAACACGTGATTTTACACAATGAGGTTTTTTTTACAACTCACGCAAAAGAAGGGAGCCCTTGGTGCTGAAAAGAAAGTCTCAATTTGGCAGGGATTGAAGGGTCTTAATAATTTGAGATTCGAAGAGAAAACGCGGTAGGAACATTCGAATTTAGCCAGATTTCCTTCGATAAAATAATTATTTTTGAGAAAAATTGTGAATATATTTTGTCCTCAAAATTTTCTGATATCTTGGGTTTCATCGAGAACAACATTCCCTGAAGAATTGGGAGGAAAATGTTTACAAATTTCCCCAAAAATTCACATTTTATCAAGCGCGATTCGCCAACTTTAGATGGCTCATACGGCATCCTTTCTCAGCAAGACCGCATACACAGGAGTAACCATACAATTGTGACCCAATTAATGTTCCAACAATTGACTTTAAACACAACATTTATGCAATTTCATACCAGTTATGTACATATTACGAGAAAAATATGCAACTTCTTATAATTCAACCCGCTAACATATTTTTTTTTATCTTTTTGCAGAAGAAACCAGATTGGTCCAAGAAGGGAGACGAAAAGAAGGTAAAGGAAATCGAGGGTGAAGCGATTGAAGCTTAAGTATCCACACGATTGTCTCTTTAATTTATTCATTCATCATTTCGGCCACGATATCCCATTCATTCTACCCCTAACTTTCATTCATGTTTTTATTTATTTTTAAAAAAAGAAAAAAAAAAAAACAAACGCACGATGGAGTCCATTTTTTCTAGCATGACCTACCAAGTGGAAAAACACCGAGCAGTTTACAAATGGACATTCTAAACCTCACAACCTGGAGAATAAATACCTCTACCTCCATGTCATGTACAAATAACACCTCCCTCCATCACACCCCAGTTCATTGCTACCCCCACCACTTTTTTCATTTTAATTTATAATTGTATATTTATTTCTTACATTATTTTGGGTCTACAATCGTTCATTATGTAAGTCCATCTAATAATTTGAGCATGCCTGAATGGGTCAATTTTTATGTCTGCACCATGTGTCAAAAATCCTATCTGTATTATAATCACCCTCACGTGTCAGATATATATTTTTATAGCTCTTTCGATAAACGCATAGCATGAAAACCGTTTGGAACCCTCTTTTGAGATGGCTCTCCAATTTTCAAAGCCCGTGCTCACAATGGATAAAATTCATTTCCCGAATGTACGTGTTTACCTATGTGTATTTGTTAGAGACCCTTTCAGTCCAATCTTTTTGTATGTTATGAATGATTCGCCTATTTTATGTTACCTATTTAATAAAATATTTTTGATTCAATTCTTACCTCCAGTAATTTTGCACTGTCATGCCCTCTCCTGTTACCATTCCCATGAATTTCCTTTAAATCCTTTGCCCTCCAATAACCAGTTTTTGAGAATGCACCCTGTTTACAATGATTCCCTATCTTCTCGACAAAGTCTCTTAAAATACGAGGATCATATTAAACAAGTCGCTGTAGTTCATAACTACCAAACCGGAAAATAAATCAATTCGATGAACAGATACATTGTAGGCATACTCTCTGCTCTGATACATGCCCAAGATTTTGCAATTCGTTGACCGACTGGCGGAGAAACTTACTCCTTGCAAAAAGCCGACCGAACTTAGGTAGCTCTCGAATGTTCACTCGGTGGTTCTCCTTAGCATTGACTCACTTCGATCTGCGGCGACAGTAGGTAATGGTTATAGGACATTTCGACAACGATTTTTTGTCCGCGCACCTGTTTTATCCAGTAATTTACGTTCACGGTCGGGCGGCCAGCGCAAAACGCGCATTGGCGCCTACAAACCTAAGTGGATACTTCAAGCATTGTGCAATGCGTGGAGTATCCACTTAGGTTTGTAGGCGCCAGTGAGCCGCTCGCGCTGGCAGCACGCCGCTCCGCTCTCTTAGGCTTTAATATTTATACTCGCATAGTCAGCGTTTTTTAAATCAGGATTTTGAAATGTTTTGCACACTCTGCATTGATTATTTGTTTTACATCGTACAATATATTGTACATCGAATATTTTAAGGATAGAAATAAAACCAAATATTCATCAATGACAATTTAAAAAGATGATTCAAAAGGAGAAAGTAATAACATTTCATTTAGAAAATAAGCAACCATAACAACACCTCCTGCTCTCTCAATTTCTCATTTCCATATTGTCAATATAATTTTACATACCGACTAAAATATAACGCTTGGACCAAGTCACCGTTGCTTATTTTACGTGTGGGCGTAAACTACTGAACAAAAAAGGTGCGCGGACAAAAAATCGTTGACAAAATGTTCTGAAACCCAGGTAATGCTAATAAAGTGAGTTTTATTACAAACCCGTGAGCAGGTTTTCAAAATTTTGGACTTGTTTCAAAGGTGGAGAAAATGCTTGGTGCGAACCTGTTCGTCATATGGAGTTACATCTTAGTCTGGGAGATATTGACATATTTTTGCTAAACGGAACCATGCGGCAAGGGTTGAAGAAAGGGAATGCGGGTTGGATTAGCAGGTGCTGCGGACCGCGGTGCTCATTACGTCTTATGCTCCCAATGCTTTTTATGGCGCTTAGTTCCGTTTGAAAGAACGCACTATCCAGGATTCTAAAATCCTTAAAAGGAACTTGAATGGAGATGTTGCATATGTGAGGGATTTGCGATTTGACAATTGATTCTTATGTACAAGTTCGCGAAAAACACGATGGTACCACTGGTTTTCTCTGAAATCAACTCCCAAGCTCAAAAAAAGCTCTCAACCTGAGGCCAAAATGGAAGGGATATCCCACGCTATCCTGAGAGTCCACCTCTACATCAATACGAACTCTCCATGCAAAGATAGGGAGCAAATACATTAGCAGTGTTACCGTGTTTTCAGTTTTGGAGTCCTCCAATAAGGTGGCAGCCCTGTCAATGTATTTGCTCCCTATCGTTGCAAGAAGAGTTTGTCTTGATGTAGACGTGGACTCTCAGGATAGCGTGGGATATCCCCTCCATTTTGACCTCAATTTGATAGCTTTTTTTGAGCTTGGGTGATGATTTCAGAGAAAACCAGTGGCATCATCGTGTTTCTCGCGAACTTTTACGTAAGAATCAACAGACAAATCGCAAATTCCTCACACATGCAACATCTCCATTGGCACATATTTACGATCAGCAGAAATACGTCCCTATGAAATAGAGAAACGTACTTTTCGGATGAACCACGTTTGAAGTGAGTTATGAAGCGATATCATCTCGTTAACTCGTTGCGCCTTCATTGTTGCAATACCGTGAAAAGCACGAATAATTGCGTTCTAGCGTTGCCCTCGAAAAATCAGCGTTCCACGCGCAAATCATGGGATTTTCCAGCTAATGCAAAACCAGGGCCAAGCCAGGACCCAATTTTTTTTTTTTCAAATATAATGACTGCGAAGGTCTCTTTGAGCCATATAACTACCGAAATGAGTTTCTTGATAGCTAGTGAGCTTCTTGAAATTGAAAAGAAGTCAAAAAAGCTGGAAAAAATGGGTTTGTAATAGAATATACGAAATTAAAAATGTTGTGATGAGCTGGCAGCTCGTTACTATTAAACTTAGGAAGGTGTGGGCAAGCTCATAGCTCAAGTGAGGCATTTTGATCAGAAGGTCAAAGGGGAACTTTTTACGACATGGTATTATAGTACCACCAAGTACTGATTTTTAAGCCTTTTCCGAAAAAATTAAACTTAATTGATACAAATTACATTTCGGAGGTCTAGGAGAGGAATTTACTCCCAAAATTTAATGATTTTAATTGATAAACTAAAACCGAGAAAAATATGTGCACTCAAAAATTCTTTCCGATAATATTTTAATTTTCCTCCTTCCTCTTTGGCTGTGTCCTCTAAAAAAAGAGGCCAATGACAAAGGCACAAATCCATTTTTCCCTCCGGGAGATCCATTCTTGACTTTGACATTAGACATTTCCAGGTATAACCACACTGGATATAATTCAAAACATTCTACATGGAAAAAAAGAAGAAAAAATTAAAACGGATTTCAACTAATGCGTACTTACAGGGCCGGATTAAGGGGGTGGTCACATGGGCCGCGGCCCATTGCGGCAAATTTTGCACTTTTTTTAAATGTAGGTATTAAAAAAAAATCGGATTCAGAAAAAAAATTATCAATAAGAAAAGGGGACAAAATCTCTCTTTCCTGAGAGTATAGTAATATCTAGTTGTTTCGTTTTTTGGTGATGCAAGAGGCAGCATCTTCAATTAGTCGAGTTAAGAGAGGAACTAAACACGCAATTTGGCCTGGAGCTCATTGCAGAGAGAAATGCTGATGAGGACTTGAGATGAAAAGGACAAGCCCTCGCCGCGGCGGTCGGCATGTAACACATATTAGCGCCTACAAGACTGCATGAATACTTCACCCACTGTGTCAAACGCAGTGCGGTCAGGAGCGGTTGGCGTGAAACGCACAGCGCCTACAAGGCTGCAGAAATACTTCACGCATTGCGCCAAACACAGTGCGATCAGCGCAGCGCAGCGGCGGAAGTTAAAATTTTTAAACCAAATTTATGTTTGTTCTTCCATACTTTTTTGGTTCATTTCTTTTAAATGGAGGACCTTGTCCACACAGAGACAGGTTTACGGAACTTAACTTTCGCGCACAGTTCCGTGAAATTTTGTCAGCAGTGTTGACAGGGCTTTCGCAAAAAATGTATCCAACACGAGTAGGTAAACGCGTCTTATGCACCCTTCCCCCTCCGGCACGTTCACTTGATGGTTTTTATTGATGTTTCAAAACGAATAAGAAAAATACAGTAAGTAAATCCGGCCCTGGCGCACTAGCGACCTTTTCACTTAACTGAAGTCTGTAAAATCTGGTCATAAGTTGTAGCGGAGTTTTGTAAAAGTATTTTAGGGGAAACTGGTAGGTGGTATATTTTTAGAGGTACTACAGACATTTGGATTCCATTTAATCTGATTGTGAAGTATTTCCCATCAATTTTTGAAGCCACTGCTGGTATCCATTCAGTAGTCATGCCATTGAAGAAGTGCGTCAGCTAAATAAAAGTTCAATGATTTTGCTATCAGTCCTCTAGAGAAAAACGTAAAGGTCGATAAATTTATTTGTGCTCCCGCATTTTTTCCTTTAATGTTCTCCTCCATCTCCACGTTTAAAACCGGTTAATGTTACATCCTATGAACACCTAAAACATCCGACATTTATCTTATAGCATGTCTACTCCGATACTACATGGATGTCACCTTTCACCTGAAATTGCATATCATGAAGAGTAAGACCACACCATTGTACAGATGATGCACGCCCTGTTTCTCTATGAATTTTCATTCCAGGTAAGATTGAAATACTTTTTTAGGTTGAGAGCATTCATTGTCTACAATTGATAGAACATTTCTCAGCTTGAGATGAGTTAGATATCTACAACTGAAAAATAAAATCTATATAATATAATAATATAATATCTTAAAAATGCCTGCTCTGATATAATATCTTGAAAATGCCTAAATGGTCGAATGGACTAATGTGCCTGATGACTCTTCACACTAGACATAAGTTTTTAAAAACTTTTTTATCTTGAAAATGCCTAAATGGTCGAATGGACTAATGTGCCTGATGACTCTTTACAATAGACATAAGTTTTTAAAAACTTTTTAATGTGAAAAAAAAAATGTTTTTTGTCAGAAACAACTCTTGTTTTCGCTCTTGCTGAATTTTTCACCTTTAAAGATACCTGGAGAGTTTTATAGACTTGCGAGGTGCATGTAAAAAATACCGATATTATTCGATGAATACTCGTACATTGAAAAATAAGATTCTTTTGACTAATAAAGTTCATTCTCTGACATTGAGCCGCATACCCTCNGGGGGGGGGGGGGGCAACCGGGCTCCACAATTAAATTTGTTGCGGGGAGAGGTAAAATCCCCGCATGTTTTACGCAATTTGCGGATGACCTCATCGATCGATTCGTCCGCGATTTCAAGGGGACTTCGGAGGTTTTTAGGTGATTTAAGTATCGATTTCATTATATTTCATGAACATGGTATTTAGATTACCGAAACCTAGAAATGAAAGTGTCCATTATTGATTGTCCTGTCAGAAAAGAACTAACTGCGTGATCAATTTATATGAACACCCCTGTGATTTCTCTTAAAATTTTAAATAGAATACAACTCGTGATATGCAAAATCCAAGCTCAGATTCAGATTCCTCTTTAAAAATCGATAAAAAATAGTTTATTTTATTTATAACACGAACGCGAGAGACTAAAAACATACGCATACCGATTCTATCATATCAGTCTAATATGGCAACATGGGCAATAACTGGGTGAGTGGATCAGCTGATGAGTAAGAAGAATATTTATCTCCTCGGAAATTCTTCGGGACGAATAAGCGCCTGGCGCCTGGCGGCTTGGACCAAAGGAAAATGACTAAAGGTCTATCATATCAGTCCAACATGGCAACATGGGCAACAACTGGGTGAGTGGATCAGCTGATGAGTATGAAGAATATTTATCTTCTCGGAAATTCTTCGAGACGAATAGGCGCCTGGCGCCTGGCGGCTTGGACCAAAGGAAAATGACTAAAGGTTGAGCTCGCGAGACTGAGTGGCGACAACCTATCGTGCCTGTTGCCATGTTGCCACATCGTGCCATGCTGCCCATGATAGAATCAGTATGCCCATCTCCTTTCTTCACTACGCTAACGTATAATACATGAACTATCATCGATTTTCAACGCGGAATACAAATCTGAGCTTAGATTTTTGATATAAAGCGTTCTGATCTATTTAAACTTGTAGGAGAAGTTATAGGGGTGGTCATATAAATAAAGTGCCCACGCAGTTTTTTTTTTTTTTTTTTTTTTTTTTTTTTTTTTTTTTTTTTTTACCAGACAATCATTAATGAAGAAAATCGTTTCCCGGTTCCGATAATCTTAACATCCACCATCTGAGGTCAGATTATTAATTGATATCACGCGTTTTGGTATATTTAAAACTGGACAGCATTTTGCAATTTGGAGCTATAAATGCTGGCTCATCTGAAAAAACACTTATATGCATTGGGAAACTAATGGCACATACGTTGTTTTAAACCGGGCTAGAATCTATAGGTCCAAATTGCAAAATGTGGTCCAACTGTAGGAGATGTTATATATATAGGGGTGTTCATATAAACTGTCCACGCAGTTTTTGATTTTTTTCAACAAGACAATCAATAATGAAAGAGATCGTTTCCTGGCTCCGTTAATCTTAACATCCACCTTGCTTATTAAATTAGTAACTACAGCACAAAAAAACCACCGAATTTCGCTTGAAGTTACTGATGAATCGATCTATGGGGTCATCCCTAAATTACGTAACTTTGAACTTACGGGGTTTTTATCTCTTCCCCTCCCCCTATACCCACTGCTTGAAAGTAGTTTTGAGGCTTTAAGATTCGATTGGTGTAAACGGGGGAGGTATAATTGTAAATATTTTAATTTCTGGCAGGGCGAAGGCGAAGGAGAGGGAGAAGGTGGAGAAGGAGAAGAGAAGAAAGAGGGCGAAGAAGGAAAAGCAGAGGAGAAGGCGGCCGAGCCGGAAGCACCTGCAGAACCACCCGTTGAAGAACCGCCCGTTGAAGAGGAGAAGCCACCAGAACCAGTTGAAGAACCACAACCACCAAGTCCAGCACCTGAAGGTCAGTTTCTACTCCCTCGAGAGCTTCTTGGAATTGAGTGGGTGACGTACGACAGGCCTCAGCACGTGCTGTTCCTCAGTAATTCCCATCCCTTCAGAGGCGGATCTAGCAATTTGGCAACACTGGATTGCCTCCATTTAATCCCATGCTAAATAATCGATCCTTGCCGGAGTACCTGGCCCCTCCAAGAATCGATACATCTCTATAGGTTTAAATGGCGAAAAACAATGTTGCCAATTTGCTGGATCCTCCAATGCATCCCTTACATTTTTGAAAATTAGAGAGTGCACATGCACACTGCCGCACTTAGGGAGAGAGCGCCGTATGAATATTCGAGGGTTGCCAAACTCCGGATAAAACATATAATTTTAAGGATTGTTATGAGTCTTCTCCTTTAAAATGCACAGACATTTTAGATTAAACTGCGAACAAAATTGTCTGAAAAATGGAAGAATAATGCTCATACAACTTTCACAATAAAATCGTATTTTATCGGAGGAAGTTGGCAATGCCTGAAGTTCATACACCGTGTTCTCTTAGCACGGCAGCACATGGTTCCCAAGAATTTCCCCCGATTTTTTTAAAAATATCCACCCTCAAAAAACTAGTCTGGAGTTGCGTATTTTGAGCTCCCATTAATTTGCATCGTGAAAAGAACTAGAAGTGGGCTTGTTCAGTAAGTTTCGTATCGTTCTAACCCTATCATGTTTTGAATTTTTGAAAAATAGGGAAATAATTCTCCTCAATTTTTTTGAACGACATCAACCCACAAAAAATAATTTCAAAGTTGCGTATTTTTAGCACTCATTTGAAATGATGTGAATATATTTTTAGTATATTAGGAAGAATAATGTAGAAGAAATTCACGTATATTCGAGGTATTATACTGCTTTTTTGTTTCACAAAAATAAAATATGCATCGTGAAATATTGTTGAGACGATTCTTCCAAAGATGCACTTGGCATCAACCAGCATTGTTAGGTTACCGGTGAAAGACTTCCTAACGCACTCACAAAAATCGCCTGCAATAAATGAGCATACACCCTTCACGACGCTTATGTTCGAATAGTTGTATCCTCTTACCTTTTGTGTACCTATATGGCACTAAAGTGGTCAGAGTGGTAGGTTTGGGCCGGTGAATTGGACACTCAAGTGTGTCTAAGTAAATGTAGCGAGACTTCTTATTAGAATAAAACAGAAATCACAGAATAATGTTGACTGGGTGACGAAAAATAACTGGTTTAATTTGGAATCATTACTAAAATTGTGCACAGAGTCTTCGCCACGTAAGTCTTTTGACCTAGTCAAAAAATGAAGATTGTACCCAGATATTTTATTGCACCACGAAAGTTTTCAAATTGATTTGGTGTGGACTCAATCGATCAGGTCAAAGGGAGAGGTCATACCAGAATTTTGTGCACCGAAACTTGTGTTTGACCTTAGTAAATAAAGTCGAATTATGTGACTTCCAAAGGGAAAAATAAACCAGTCATTTTCGCGGTCTATTTTAAGTAACGGAGGCATTTTTGTCGTGAAAAGATAGCGGTCCTCTTTACATTTGGTACTGTTAGGTAGTTATATTTAAAAAATAACGAGTTTTTACAATCATTTTTCAGATATGTGGTTATACCTGAAGGACGTTGTGAGCCACGAGAACCCAATCAGTGTAGAGGACTTGGTTGAGAAACTCATGAACGCCGTCACCGTCATTCCACAGCCTTTGTTGAAATCTGTTGTTAAGGCTGAGCTAAAGAAACAGCAATCTCAGGATGAAGGCGGTAAGTCAAAAGTCTCCTAGCGTTCTGTCATAGAAAGGCAATGTTTCATTCAAAGAACAACACTGATTTCACATTGTGAAAGTTGGATGTGCGCGTTTTATTCCATCAGAAAAAAATCTAAACTTGAAAGCGGTGAATTAATCGTGAGTGTTGAGGTGTATCCTGGTGTCGAAAGCGAATACACATGACTCAAGTCCTGATTTTGCATCATGCTATCACACCATCAGGGTGACATAAAATAAATAAATAAGGCTTATGAAAAATGAGAGATTCCAGTGAAAAATTTTAGAATATTTCGCAAGGCTGTAAAATTCTCAAAAAATATTCAACAATAATTTTATACTAGCAATTAACCCGTGGTATACGTACGGAGCACAATTGCACGCTATAATATGGCGCGATTTAATCTGATGGTGATGCAGTTATAGCCACTCAGGTGTTGAAAAATCGTATCGTGCACATGAGTCCATCTCTTTCATGCATTGAGTCTGGACGAGTTGATTTAAGAGCGAGAAATTTGATTCGCCGTGGAGGTAAAAGGCTACACATTTTTAGCAATTCTCCGGAGACTTAAACGCAAAGCTAGAAAAGTATTAAAAGCAATGTTTGTTCCCGAGGGCCGTTCTTAAAATACGTAAGGCTAAATTTCGGATTTTTCGACCAAAAAATGCATGTAATTGTATAATGGACACACATGCGATACACATTACCGCCACCTCTCCGGGGACTTAAACGCAAGCCAAGAAAAGTTAGACGAATAATTTTTGTCACAAAAAGCCGTTCATGAAGAAGTAATTCTAAATTTCGGATTTTTCGATCGAAAGGATTCATGCGTAAGTGATACTTGTTGTTAGCACTGGAGACTTAAACGCAAGGACGGAAAAGTTAGAAAAGTAATTTTCGATATAAGGAGTCGTTCATAAAATACATGACGCTAAATTTGAGATATTTCGATTCCACCTCTCCCCTCTCTCCTTGACGCTTTTGTTACGTTTGTCCCAATCCTTTAACTCGTAAAAACGAAACGCCATAACGCTCTTCTTGACTCCCCCTAGAGCGTTACGTATTTCATGAACAACCCCTAATGGCGGCACGATTCATGATACATTCCTAACCTCTTCGGGCTTGAAGAGGTTACACTGGGGGAAAAAAAACACATTGGATCTAGAGTCCAGACTCTTGAAAACATTGTCAAGAAAAAGACTCCTGATTCAATCAGATTTAAGCTTAAATCAAGAACCACGCATCTTAATTTGAGCGGATTTCCTTTTGATTTAAGCTTAAATCTGATTGAATCAAGAGTCCTTTTTCTTGTCAATGTTTTCAAGAGTCTGGACTCTAGATCCAATGTGTTTTTTTTTTCTCCAGTGTAGAAAAATGGCATTTCCTACTTGAGGATCTCACCTTCTGCATTATTTTTAACAGCACACCCAGAGGGAGAAGCTCCAGCAGACGGAGCACCCCCAGCGGAAGGTGCGCCCGCAGAAGGAGCTCCAGCGACAGAAGGCGCCCCACCGGCAGAAGGAGCCCCACCAGCGGAAGGCGCCCCTGCAGAGGGAGCACCCGCCCCCGCAGACGGAGCACCCGCACCAGCAGAAGGCGCTCCCGCAGAGGGAGCACCTGCACCAGCAGAAGGCGCGCCCGCAGAAGGAGCACCCGCACCCGCAGAGGGAGCACCCGCGCCCGCAGAAGGAGCACCAGCGCCCGCGGAGGCCGCACCAGCCGACGCACCCGCACCCACAGAAGCAGCACCAGCAGAAGCGCCACCTGCCGAAGGTAATTCTAGAGTTTTACCATTAGTCATTGGAAAAGAAAAACACATTGGATCTAGAGTCCAGACTCATGAAAACATTGACAAGAAAAAATACTCTTGATTCAATCAGATTTAAGCTTAAATCAAAAGGGAATCCGCTCGAATTAAGAGGCTGGGTTCTTGAGTTAAGCTTAGATCTGATTGAATCAAGAATATTTTTTCTTGTCGATGTTTTAAGAGTCTGGACTCTAGATTTAATGTGTTTTTTTCCAGTGGTTGATCAAAGAGTCATGAGTCCATATCTTTACAACGTTAAATTTACTGATGCTATGGTACACTTAAAACGAAACTTTTCATGATGATAACTTAGTGATCAGATTTTTTAAAGAAAAAAACTTGGCCTTTAATCACAACCGATGATATGTAAAATTTAATTGGCAAAAAACTGAAAACAAAATTGACACACGAATTTTTTCACTTACTCGGTGAATCGCGAAGTACTCCTTGTAAAATTATTTTCTTTCTTGCGGTAAAGTATTACTGATACTCGATAATCCTGAGAATATTTTTACCTTTTTGCGAGGCACTCTTTTCAAAATTGTTTTCTTTTTTAATGTAAAAATATCGTTATTACTGACTTCCTCAGTACTTCTGAGCAGATATGATTCATTTTTTTCCCCCATTTCTTTCCATGGTTTGAAAAATCGCTTCTGGCTATCGATAGAACATAGCCCCGAGATGAGCCCGCTCTCTATTTTGTATTAACCCACGAAAATTTCTATTTAAATCTACCAACCTTCTTGATGTCATTTTTTCTCTGTTGCAGCACCTGCATCATGAGCTGCTCATTGACGCTGACTTCCACCAAATTTACATTGGTTTCCGAATCAAGTGTCAAACAACATATCGCGAGCAAAATCGGATCGCTGAAGTTCTGAGAATTGCATTGAGACCACGATTGTTCACTGTTATTTTCTTTACCTACATGAAAAATAAACTTTCCGTACATTTTGTAAAATTGATTTACTTATTGAACGCTGAATCCTCTGTGTAGCAGATGGGCCCAAGTAGCAGAGATTGCAACAACTTGCAACAAAATCGTTTGATTCTTGCAGCTGATGGATTGATGTGCAGTTTGCCTACTCTCTCCCCCGAAGAAGCTATAATTGTTGGAACTAGTTGCCATTAAGTTGAAACATGTTTCAACTTCAAAGTATTGCTGGTTGCCTATCTTTAGATTTTAAACAACTTCGGTTCAGCAATTTTGCAATCTCAGCAGGTTGCAACTTTGTCTTCCGATCAGATCGCCGAAAATCGGCACTTATCGACCAAAAGTTGACCGAAGGTTGAAACTTTGTTGCAACTGATACCAACATTGTTTCAACTTGTTGCAACTTTTACATTGAAAAATGCTACTTGGGTGTAGGTACATGTCGACAATGAAACCCCCAAACCTGGATCTCGTTCGCGGTGTTTTAAAATCGCCGCTCCCAGCTCATTTTTTCTGAGGAGAACAAGTCATCGCTACTTAGTCCTAGACTTTTTTTTTTTAAAAAAATTTCCTCTCACAAAGAAGAAAAGTTATGGAAGTTTGTAAGTGATGACGTTGATTCGTTTTTCATTTAACAAAATAAAGTATGACAGGAAGTCAGCAAGGTCGCTGACAGAGATACGTGGTTAGGGAGTTTCAACGTCGATGTATTTTTCGAGCGGGTCACTAGTCGTGCTCCCCGGCACACGTTTGTTGCCTACACAGCGAAATTGAAGGCGAACCCCGATTTGACAATACCCAGGTACCAATAGGCTTTTACTGAATACTCATTGTCTATAGGTTTTGTGATAGCTGATTGGTTGAAAATCATGCGTGTTCTTCGGATTGACCCCTATTCGCGTTCCCATGGTATATTTGTTGCATACGCGGCAAAATTGAAGGCAGGTCTCAAGTTGAAGATTTATTCGATTGTAAAACTACTGAACCACGTAACTCGGCAAACCTGAGTTTTCAGGAGAGCAAAGAAACTGTCTCCGTTCCTGATTTTTGATGATTAAAAGGTAATAATTCTCGAAGATAGAAATGATAAGATGCTTTTCAACACACCTTGAGCATTTTTGAAGATAGAACAATCAGGAAACAGCAGTTAGAAAATACGGAGGAAAACCCGAGTTATGTGTTTTGCGAACTCGGGACCAACTTTATTACCTCGNCAAAGAAACTGTCTCCGTTCCTGATTTTTGATGATTAAAAGGTAATAATTCTCGAAGATAGAAATGATAAGATGCTTTTCAACACACCTTGAGCATTTTTGAAGATAGAACAATCAGGAAACAGCAGTTAGAAAATACGGAGGAAAACCCGAGTTATGTGTTTTGCGAACTCGGGACCAACTTTATTACCTCGAGATTGTGAATTTCGAGAAACGGTTTTGAGACTGTTATTTGAAGATTTTTATCGATTTAAGGCTTACCGAAGAGTCATATTGAACAGTGTGCTTAAATTAATGCACTGGAAGCTTCTGTTGATCCTGCATGCTAGACCAGTCATCGTGTAACATTTATCGTGTCATTGATAATAACAATACTTTTAAACGCCATGACAGATTAAATAACCCGTACCGTAAGCGGTGTAGGTGGCAGGTTACTTTCTTAAATGATTATCCTGGTACTTCTAATAAAAAAGGTAAATTTCCCTTTCCCGGTGGACGAGTCGCCTTCTAATACAAGCGTATGCAACATCGATGACACCTCTTGTCCGCATGATACATATTATTACTCGTTACTTGCTGACATCTGAGACGCACGCACTTGTCCTGACTCACCTCGTCTAGCTGTTAGAAGAGCATTTAATGGGCGCTTTGCATTCACAGATTTCTTACGTTAAGAAAAGTTTACTTATGCAAAGTTACTTACCGAAAGGATACTTACCTTAAAGTATACCTACCGAAAATGCATCAAAAGCGCACAACTTCCGAAACACGCGCGTCGATGAGCGCGATTGGCGCGGTTTGTGAGGACAGAAATAGGGGAGGGGGGGCGATTTTTGATATTTTTGCTCATCCGACGTTTTTGGATGAAAATGTGTAATGTCTTGGAAGAAGGAGGGTTCGCTCGTTTTTTTTTTGTTCGGTCCAACGGAAAAAAGTATATAAATGGGATCTTTGGCAAATATGAGTGTACGCAAATTCCATTTGAGGGGAACTCTGAAACTCTCTCAGGGGCGGACTGGTAGTCGAAAAGTTAGGAGGAGACCTAAATGTACGGGCCCCTCCTGTCGTTCGGGGGCCCCTCTAAGAAGGTACGGTGGCCCTCCCCCGGTAAATTTTGAAAATTTCACAATTTTTAAACACGTAGGCAATATTGGAGTTGGATTCTATAGTACTTGAACTTCAAATAACCCATTCTCAGGATTCATCGGGGGTCCCTTCATCACAAATGCTTTTGGCGACCTTCCATGTCTCTTAGAGACAAATTTTCAAGGAATTCGGGGCCTTTTAGTGATTGAAAAGGATAAGAAAATTACAACAATGCGGGAAAAAAACGATGACTCGAAAAAAATTCGCCGCGGGGGCCCCTTCGAGACTTCCACGGCAAATTGTAAGGGGTCGATCGCCTCCCCGCCCCCATGGCCACTCCGCCCCTGGCGACACAGGAAAGCTGAAATACCGAGCGGGGACGCTGCTTCAATATTAAACTTCTATCGCCTTGCTAAGGCGCAGGGATACTACTATTTGAACACTCCGGAACGCGTGAGGTATCACGCTTCGATTGAAGGCGTTTTCGAATCTTCTGTATTTACATGACGAGACTTTTCAAATTTGTTTGCATTATATTGTCGATTTGAGTTCCTTTTATTATTTAGTTAAATTATTCCTGCTTCTTAATTTTTAATTATTCTGGAAAAATTATTTTTTTGCGAAATACAATCCTGGCTTTCGCGCCCTTAAACTACGGCCTTAACGGTCGAAACTGCAGTAGCGGCACAGGAAAACCGAAAAACAACGCGAGGATATTGGGGGGATATAGGGAAACAACTATTTGAACTCTCCGGAACGCGTGAGGTATCACGCTTCAATTGAAGGCGTTTTCGAATCTTCTGTATTTTCATGACGAGACTTTCCAAATTTGTTTGCAGTATACTGTAGATTTGAGATCCTTTTACTTTTTAGTTAAATTACTCCTGCTCTTTAATTTTTAATTGTTCTGCAAGAACTATCCATTTGCGAAAGACAACCCTGGCTTTCGCGCCCTTAAACTACGACCTTAACGGTCGAAACTACAGTAGCGACACAGGAAAGCCGAAAAACAACGCGGGGACGCTACTTCAATATTAAAATTCCATCGCCTTGCTAAGGCGCAGGGATACACCTATTTGAACTCCGCGGAACGCGTGAGGTATCACGCTTCAATTGAAGGCGTTTTCAAATCTTCTGTATTTACATGACGAGACTTTGTTTGCATTATATTGTCGATTTGAGTTCCTTTTATTATATAGTTAAATTACTTCTACTGCTTAGTTTTTAAATATTCTGAAAAAACTAGGTATCCACATTTGCGAAATACAACCCTGGCTTTAGCGCCCTTAAACTACGGCCTTAACGGTCGAAACTCCAGTAGCGGCACAGGAAAGCCGAAAAACAACGCGGGGACGCTACTTCAATATTAAACTTCCATCGCCTTGCTAAGGGGCAAAGATAGGTACAAGTATTTGAACTCCCCGGAACGCGTGAGGTATCACGCTTCAATTGAAGGCGTTTTCGAATTTTCTGTATTTACATAACGAGACTTTCCAAATTTGTTTGCATTACATTGTCGATTTGAGTTCCTTTTATTACTTAGTTAAATTACTCCTGCTCCTTAATTCTTAATTATTCTGCAAAAATTATCTTTTTTTGCGAAATACAACCCTGGCTTTAGTGCCCTTTAACTCCGGCCTAACTAAATAACGGGAACCTGCGAGATATCCTATTGTTAGTTCATTATTTTCCCCATTGTCTATGATAGCCACCAGCTCCAACCAATAGGATCGCTCGATGTTCCCTATGTCTTCTTTATCTATCGCTTTGTCTACCAATTTCAACTATCAGCACATAGGTTTTTTCCGGATAAAAAGGTTTTCACCGTTATGTAAAATTAATCAGATTGTTCTGCGTCAGGAAGAAGGGTGGAAAATTTTCTCAAGTAAACAATAGGGCTGTCCCCATCTATTTTTTGCTACTATAGCCGTAAATGGCACTAATTTTCGCCCATCGCTGACCTGTTTCCTAAAAAATCGAACTGTCCAAAAAAAAAAAAAAAATTTTCCAANAAAAAAAAAAAAAAAAAACGCCCGTTCCTGACTTTTACTTTCGATAGATGCTGAATAAAAAATGAGGTCATTTTCGCCATCAGCAGTAAAACAAATCGATGGTAAAAATGCAAAAATGCATATCTCGGTTGCGGTGTTTGAAAATTTCCGCTCCTTTTTTATTATTTAAAGGGAAATCGAACCAACACCATGGCTCAATAAATGACGCTAAGTGGTTTTCCATATAAAAATGAAGTTTCCGCAACGCCGCAAACCGATAAACGCATTTCTGCAGTTTCACCATCAATATGTTAAGTTACACAGCACCCGGAAAACCAACGCCCGTGACAGTTTTCGTAGAGTTGCCGATATGACAAAGCGAACGCACGGTCTTTGGCGCAATGTGTGAAGTATTCCTGCACTCTTGTAGGCGCTAAAAGGCGTTTCGCGTCGACCAGCGACCGCACTGTTCGCAAATTCAGTCTTCCAGGAGTCCCCTTACTCAGAATTCCTACCTCCCATTTCAGGGAATCGAATGTAGAGGGCATTGCATCATTGCGAAGTTTCACTAGTCAATTCAATTTTGTATTCAAGGAAGATTTAATTTATTTTAAAATTTTTTTGTTTACATTTTCGGCGATGTGCAGTGAGACCAAAATTCCCTGAAATTTTCAATGAACAATATTTACCTTGACTGTGAAACTGCATCAGGGACCTTAGAAAACACGATTTTTCAAGAGAACAAAAAAATTGTCCACAACATTCACTATTTATCAGTAGAGGGGAAATAATTCTTGAGGATAGCTAAGATAAAAAGCTTTTTTAGACTTGTTCAGCATTTGGATTTTGGAACTGTCAAGAAATATGGTAGAAAAACCGAGATATGCGTCTTCAGGATTAAGAGTTAAAGCTACATACATCCCGAGATACTCTTTAGCATCACAGCTTTGAGCCGGTTTTTCCTTCAATTCGAACAAATCAAGACTGGACAAAGAGTCCTAAAGAAGTTGGTGCTTAAATTTACTAGGTAGAAGTATCTATTGAATCGCCCATTGCAATGTTGGGCTCTAATTCTGGTGAATCGATTAATTTCTAGATCTTTACAGAAGCAACCTGGAACCATGCAGATACGAAATGATTGTTCTGAATAAAAAAATTCATCTTTCGGCTTCATAGGATAGGAAGAAATCATGAATACTGCCAGTTGAAAGACACAAAAATGAAAAACGATTCTTTTCAGCTTTTTGTCAGCATTTGCAGAGCTTTCGAAAATGAAAAATGCATATTCTGAGAGTTCAAGTCTGTACGTGTTGAACTGTTGATGTAAAATCTCAAAAAGAGTTGACACCAACGTAATCAAAGAAAATGAAAATAAGGATAAGAAAGAAAATGAATTGAGGGTGTTAATAGCAACTGATAATTTCAGAAATTTTGAAAGAAAAGTACATTGTAAATGACAGAAAAACTAATTACACATAACAAATACTGAGACCATTTTTAACGTTTGAGTATTTACACTAAAACCAAAGACATATGAGTTATCGATGCTGAATAACATGGTGAAAAAGAAGTTAGGTACTGCTGATGAACACAAGAAAAAGGACTGTTGATCGACATATCATTACAGCATCAAGCTTAATCCTCCGAAATACGAATGAAAGGACAAAGATGAGTCAGATTGAATTTGATACAAATTAAACAGTGTTCTAATCAATGAGCTCACAAAAAATGCAAAAGCCACCTGATTCAAGAAAAATTATGCAAAAGAAATACAATAAACTGTATAAACTTTTTATGGCCAAGAAATAATTTAATATCGTGCAAGGAGAAAAAACAAAAACTGAAGCTACTTTCACAGAAAGTGCAACCAGACACATGAGGACAATGATGCAGTGCTAAGAAAGAACAGGGTGTGAACATTCAAGATTGGCCAAAATCCCCTGGATAAAACATGCATTTTGGAGAGGTATGCATATTTCTCCTTGATATTTTTACATATTTCAGCTTGAATTGTGAACAAAATCGTTTGAAAAATTTGAAGAAAAATGTTTGTAATTTTCCCAGCAAGCTCTGCTTTTATTGAGGGAAAGATGGCAATGTCTGAAGGCTCATACAGCATTCATCCTTGGTATCATGGCAAAATGTGGCACACTTTTGGCAACAATCTAAGAAACTTGTAACATTTCAATCTAAGAGCATATCACAATCACATTGTACAAAATTATGAGAAGGCCTCCATTCCTCAACATAAGAATTAAAAAAAATGTATAATGTAAAAATATAACAATGGGTAGATGGTAAAATGAAAATTCTGGTTTTGAGAATCATGAGTAAACGATGTTAACGACAGCTTAACTTTACAGATCATGATCTGTGACCCTACAAAATTTTCCATTGATTCTGTTTTGACCAAGGTACCTACAAATTTCTTTACTTAAAAAGATCATCACTCCACACAATTTTGGTGTTCTCAATGCTTCTTTTGTGCTTTTACCTTTCCTTGGATAAAATTAAAAGAAAATCAATTTTGGTTTAAACATTCTTCTTTCAGGTAGCAGAGGTAAATAGTTAATAAAATTTATGCTTCAAGGTATTCACGAGAAATCCATTTCAGACACATAAACATATGAGATAGTGTCATTAATTATGGCAAAGAGATGCAAGCTGTTAGACTGACAAAGTAATTTTTCGTAGAATATCTTGATATTAGAATCATGAGAAATGTATAGAGGGCACATGGCATTCTCACAAGCTGAGAAGGAATGATAGGTATTCTGTAAAAATCTGTAACACTAAATCTTAGCAATAAGTGTTTATCTCATTCTTCTTAAATAATTGAGACAATAACAACAAAAGAGCCATTTCCAACCGCTTCATCCATCATAAACGAAATTATCATGAATTGGAACACATGTAAATAAGGTTAACACACATTTAAAAAAATACTTCCTGGAAAAATGTATTCAATGGTAACATCAACGTTCCTTTGAGTGTGTTAGATTTTAATTAGAAAATAAAGAGAATTTAAGTACAGTTTGGTTGCAGATACTGATGAGGAAGACCATCATCTTTTTTTCTTTTTTATATAAAAGGCGAGTGGTTTCTAGAAAGACAGGTAGACTGAGGAACTCATGAGAAAATAACAAAATTAATTCAGGTTTATCTGTGATAAGCAATTTCAGCTGTCTCTCTGTACTTTTTTCCCCTTCTGCTTTTTAGACTTTTTACTTTTGTTGCTGTCCAAAATATAAAGCAATCCATTCATTTCTCTGTACATGTATTTTTCAGATTCCTTATATTTTTTCTCCCATTCGTTCCCGTGATAATTCTGGACATACAGGTTCGACTGAAAAGAAAAGCCAGTAAAAATGAAAATTAAAACAAGGTAAATCAACATTTAACATAGTGAATGCTACTTCAATTAAAATGCTGAATAGCCTAAATAGACAAAGGAAGAAGGTAAAGAAAAAAAATAATAAAGAAAGTAGTAGTAGTGTAGTGAGTTCATTTTTGAGAGGTATCCTCACATCAACGGCCATTCACACTTCTATGTGTTTATCAACTAGCGTAGTGGTAGTACCCTTTATAGATAACTTGTCCTTTTTTGCTGTAAGCAGGGAATAGGTCTTGCCCTATTCTGCGCTTACAGCAAAAAAGGACGTCATCTGAAACAGGCTGTAGCAGCAGCAGAACAAAATCATTTTTTACTTAAAAAAGAAGGGAAAGAATGGAGAAGAATAACACACAATCTTGCTTCACAGCTTTATCAGGGTGTCTACTGAGGTCCACAAAAATAAAATAAGTACTTTTTCAGTACTTTTTAGGTACTCAAGGATAAATTTACGTATGTTGCCTTGGGGAAAAATTAAGTACTTTTTAAGTACCTTTTCGATACGTATCGCAATTCTTCGATTTTGGCACTGCCGCGCACTTTACTTCGGCTATTCCTGTGGCCTTTTTGACTGTTTCTGTCAAATCTAGGGAGATGCCTTATTCCGCTCCTCTACAACAACCGCGCTCTTACGGGCTGACATTGCACTAATACGCCTGACGGACAATGCACAGAGGGTTGCATAACTATCAGGCAATCGAACTGAACGCGCAGCGCAAAATGCGAAAAATTACGGACCTTCTGCTAGATTTACGTACTTTTAAGGTACTTATGGGCCGACCTTAAAATATGCGTACTTTTTCCGGACTTTCTGGACTTTATGGACTGGTAGACACCCTGCTTTATATTATTCAAACTTGTTAGAATGAAAAATTAGTCAGCTCTTTTAAAACTGCCAGTTTTTCTGATGAGTTTTTTGATGGTTATAGCTAAACAATCAAGACTCTTGTCAGAAATGAGATACAGATACACAGTGTTTTGGAATTCATTGATGGTCGTAAACTTTTTAAACCAATACATACCGAAGGACTTTTGTTCTGCCGGATAGCCTCATTATACCTTAAAGGTGCGCCATCTTTGATCATTTGAATAAAAATTCGAGCTATGTTCACAGCATCATCCAAACCACAGTGGGGCCGACCCTCAAAATCTAAACCGACTAAATCCAACATTGACTGCAGACTCACCTATAAGGATATGAAATTAGAGAAAGTTATTGATGGAAAACAGAATGAGTGGTGATGGTTACCAGCAGATAGAATTCCTGGCAGGGCAATTGCTGATCCTAAAGGAGAAACAATTTGCACACGCCAGAAAATCTCAGGGTAAAGGCGAAGGCGGATTTTCACTCTCTAGCCTTTCACCACTGATTTAATCTATACTTGTCGAGGACACTTAAGAATGAGACCTACGAGGGTTCAAACTTCAAAGCTCAGTTCTTGGATGGGAAGTGAGGGAATTGCTATAATTCTCTGATCACACATTAGTACAGTTCTTAAAACTATGGAAGCTCTTAAGTCAAAGTGAAAATGCCATTGACCACAAGACAGGTTGCGAATTTGGTTATTATGATGTATATTATCTCTTCAGAATCTGATGTAGAGCACGATTTGTACAGCAAAAGTTACTGAAAGTAACTCCTAACCAAGATGTTAACGTTTCCTGTTGCATAAATTTGAACTTCTCGCTTATAAAAAAACCCAAAGTCTACTTGAGTTCAAACGCAAACTCAACGGTATGAAAATATGACAACCTCAATCTCAGTGCTTCAGCTCCGCTATTGAATGTTGTTCACACTTTGAAAAACATACTGTGGAGATGAGACACTGCTTAGTTAGGAGACCTGCCAAAATCGTTGTAGTGCATGATTTGATTCACATATATTTTAATGCATTCACATTCTTTTGTGACCAATGCTGAATAAAAACCTTAAAATCTTGGTTGAGATCTTATTTCAAGGCTTATTGTTGTGCTGATCCCATTCTTTGCTAAATTTTGAAGGAGGCAAATTCAACAGAATGTTCAAATTCATACCTTGGCTATTGGTTCATACTAGAGGGATGCAATATTCTCTCATCTGTTGATTTGGTAGAGTTAAGAAAGGAAGTGAATCAGGAATGAGGATATGTACTATCAATTTTGGAACATTGTCTACACCATTTTCAGGATCTCTGAATTAGGAGAGAGTAACAAAGGTAAAGGCATTTTAAGCTTTTCAAGTGATGGAATGAAAAATTTTAATAATTGTCCAATTCATTGTTTTAAATAACCCTCATGCTTCCAAGATGTGTCACATTATAGAACACAAATGGACTACGCTACATCAGCCTCAAAATTTTCCAGCAAAAAAGATCAAGCCTGCATCAGTCTTGTTGCAAGCTGTGTAGTTAAAAATGTTGAGGAAGATTGATACAATATTGCTGCAACTTAATAGTTACAGGATCACTTATAATTAGTTAAAGATCTAATTTGAAGAAACTGATGGAGAAGAGTACCTGTTGCTGAGAGTAAAATGATCTAAAAATTTTTCGCATGTTAATCCATTTATCAGCAAAATGAGGATATGTGACTTGCGAAATCTGCAAAAAGAGGAGAAAATTGTAACTACATAGAGTTAAGGCTTTAAGATGGTATTGGATCAGGGTAGAAAGACAAAACTAAAATTGAAGTTTAATAAATAATTTTTTTATGATATTTGTTCAGATTCTGCTACAAAATATTCAGTGGTCAGGTATTGCTCTGGACTACACTGTATTGACTTCGTAAAAAGAAAATCGATGTATACGTTAAATTTATTCTTTGCTTCGATTTAAAAAGATACAAATTTCATTCAAGCACTACAGACACAATAAAAGGTCTCTTTACAAGGCAGGCATTTTACTAGATTTCGCAGCTGATTTGATTTTTTGCCCAGATTTTTGTTATTTCTTCATTAAGACAATATTCACTTCCTTGCAATTTTCCAGATAATTTGATTTATTGGATTTTTTCACAGGCTGGTGGCAGGATTTTACTTCATACTGCCCGAAGTTTCAAAAATTTGAACAACATAGCCACTGCTCCTTTGACTGAAGAGAAGATGAGAATTCTACATGAGATAGATTGTGAAAGCGGAGAATTCAAAAAATCACATGTTATGTTTATTTCAACCTTATCTTTCTCATAATCTAATCACAGTTTACAGTGATTCAGATTAGTCTTGTTTTTACCTCATTATGATTCATTTCTTACAGAAGTTTTTAATTTTCATGAAGAACCACTACTGATTTCAAATGGATATTTAGTATAAATACAAAATTTTATGAATGATAAGTTCTTAGGTTGATATGTAAAAAAATGTAAGGTGCAGGTGTTTTGTTTTTTCTTCTCAAGAATTTGAATTACCATGCATTGTCCATAGAGGAATCGACCCATGTCCCATGGTCCATCGGTAACTATGGCAAATTCTCTACCTTCCTTGCCTAATTCGTGAGAGCTAATCCATTGGCTAAATTTCTGCAAGACAACTGGGAAAGTTTCTGCATTATCTACTTGTTTCTGCAAAAATGGAAGAAAAAAGAACAAGGTAAGACAATAACATAGAAATACAAGAGAGTAAATACAGGTTTAACAAAGAATTTTAAAAGCGGATCTGAATGAAAAAATTAAGATCTGAAACCCTAATGTATAAAAGTTGGCCCTGAGCAAAATGATAAGTGAATTTCTTGTCAGATCGTTTTATAATTTTATCTCAACTTCAGTTTTAGTTCAGTTCCCTTTAAATTAAAATTGTAATAGTTTAAAATATTCTTTAGTTCAATGAAACATGACCAAGAGATAGCCTTGAAAAGTAAATCTTTGGTGGATAGCAAGAAACATGTTTCGAAACTTCAAAGGAATATTTTTTTGAGCTTAAAACTTATAAGAGCCTTGTAAAATATTCATAAGTCACCCACAAATTGGCAGCCCTTGTGGGGGCTGTAATATCAAAGTAAGTAAAGGAAGGTATCTTGATGGCACTTTTCAGTATTTCTTGCTTACATATTATTTGTTTACAGAGAAACCACAACATTAATTTTATTTGTTTATACAGAAAGCACAACATGAATTTTCCAAAATTTTTTAGAGATTTTCCTTTCTCTTGTTTGAATGGGCTGAAATTCTTAGACTAATTTATGCGACGAAAAAATAGAATGTTTGAAGAAATACTAAAACAGCGCAGAAAAGAAACGTTCCTTCAAGCAAGAGACAGTAATACTTGTTGTGTAAAAGAAGCTAGTTAGAATTACAGAAAACAACCTGATCAACTCTCCCTCCAAACTCTTACATAGTAAAAATAAGCTGCTTCCCTTTCACTCAATATAAGTCTTTAAGTGTCTTAATTGTGCCAATGTTAATTCCCAAATTTCAAAAAAATATCTTAGAAAGAACCTGCACAAACCTGTGTTATTCCAGTTAATGTTTTACAGAAAGTGGTGAGTTTTGGATTGATTTCAGGGCTAACATAATGTTGAAATTTGTCTACAATCTTCAAGTCTCGAGAGCTAATGAGGACCGCAGGAAATTCGATGATTTCATGCCTGTAACAGGAAGAAATATGTGCAAATAAATTTTAAAATAATCTTAGAATTTGACCTAAACTTTACTCTATTTCATCCTTTATTCATTCATTCTTAATATTCATATATATCTCCTATTTATCGGCTATGTAGCTCACCATCTTGATCTTCGAGTTTGATATAAAATCTCATATCTCATCTTTTGACAGCTTGAGCGGCTTAAGGTAATGAATTTCAGACATTTTCTTGCAAAGTTCTTCTTGAATGGGTGAAAGTAAAGTTAAAAATACTGCTTGCTTGCCGACTGTGTTTCCATTAAGATATTTTATTAGTAGATATATTAGTCAAGAAAAAATAACATTAACTGACAGAATGAAGTACTTACGGAAAATCAGGAGGATTAAGTGTATCACAGGTAGCTTCAAAATCAACAACTATATAGTAAGGAAGTGAAAAAATAATATATCCTAGACCAGCTTCGGTGAATCTTTGGACCTTGAAGAAATATTTAAGTCTAGCTTTGAGTACATCGTCATGACCAATCACAGATAATTTATTCGCCTCTAAATGCTCAATTAGCTCATCATGTGACATATAATTTATCTTTTGATTCAGTTTATTCAAACCGTAGAAGACCTTTTTTGCTCTTTTCCTGACGGCTTCACGCTGAGGAAAAAAAGAGAAGATTAAATTAATTCAGAAGAAAAACTAAGCATCATGGAGCTCTAGAAAAAAAATGAGAAATTATGTTGACAATGTTTGATCTTCTAACATTGTTAAAATGAATCAATGAAACCAAATGAAAGGTGAACTAAACTGAGAATGAATAACCATGGAATAGTTCATGGGCAATCTATATATTTAATATCCTAAGGCCTTTTTTGGCCTCATACAGTTTGGGCTAATTCGATCTCGGAAACTACTGGACCGATTTTGCTCGGATTTGTTTTAAATGAAAGCTCTTAGGCTGTAGACGTGCCAACATTCCTTAGTTTTTCGATTTGCACGACCGACGTTGCAAAATTTACCTCGATTTGATAACGACATGCTTGCGTTTTTGACGTTCGACAGTTTGTGCTAATTCGATCTCGGAAACTACTGGACCGATTTTGCTCCGATTAGTTTAAAATGAAAGCTCTTAGGCTGTAGACGTGCCAACATTCCTTAGTTTTTCAATTTGCGCGACTGCCGTTGCAAAATTTACCTCAATTTGATAACGAAATATTTTCGTCTTTGCCGCTGGACGAGTCATATGGTTGGGGGACCTCCCACCCTCTGATTTTCCGTTTCCCTCTCCACGTAAACCCATCCCTACCTGCCGTTAGTACGTGACACCCTTCTGCTCTGGCATGGGTCCTTTGTCAGTATCACTCCCTTTCTTATGCCGTCTGACTCGGAACACCTACTACGCATTTTCTCCATCGCATTGCTCATAATCAGTTCTCGGTTTGTCCAAGTTTCTCAGTAGTGCGTCTCGAGTTTTGCTTTCTTGATTTTATCATTATAGTTTTTTTTACATGAAAATTACTTAATTTTGATGTGTATTTTTCAGAAGATAATGTTCCTTTTTACGGCAGCACAGGTTTTATTAATAATTAACTTTTTTACAGCAGCTCATGTGTTCTTCCAAGAGAATCGGTAATTAATGTTCACCCTTTCGCACCGTTAAAGTTTCACAAAGTGTTTTGATTTTCTTTTCAAGGAGTGTTTTTTATTTTTCAAAGATGTTTCTTTTTCTAGAAGTAGGTGGTTATCATTATCAGTATCTTATTCTTTGTTTTTGAATTTATCATTTTTCCTTCAGGAAGTCCTCTAATTACTCGTAGTAGCAAAATTTGGCTCATGAAGCGAGCCAACATTCACTCGCGGAGCAAGTGACTGGGGGTCCAGGGGGCGAAGCCACCGGCTAGCGGCGCAAGGGAGCTGAAGCAGCTAGTGCATTTTGAAAGAACTAATGTCTGCTTCTTACAAGCTCAGTCAAGCTACTAGAAGTAGTGTGTCAATGTTACATAATTTGGAGTAAGGTGTTTCAAAGCTGATTTTGGGAGAGAAAAATTAATCAAGAAGAGTGATTGTGCGGGAGTGATTGTGATCTCTCGGACACAACTGAGGGCTAAAAATTGGTGATGGTACTTTTAAAAAAGTGGGTTTTTCACGTACTCTTGCAGGTTAATTTTAAATCTTTATTGGAAAATTGGACATCCAATAGCCTTGGGCTTCACCTATGTTAGAAGACTATGTTAGAAGACTGAGCTGAGTAGGCAGTGGTGCCAATCGTCTATGATTTCTTTCATTTCTTTTTCAATTAGTTTATGTTTTACTACTTTTGCCACACGAGGCTAGACCTCTTGGCATTTTTTATTTTGTAGTGGCCTTAATTTAATTTGTATTATGTTTTTTCTTGTATTAATAAAATGAATCTATCTAATACAGATTGAAATGAAATGTTGATGTTATCAATTCTGCCTTCTCTTTACGCTATAAAATCGCACTCCTGTCTCTTTCCTATCAATGGGCGTTTCTTTATGCCTTCTCCCTTTTTACCGTTGAGTCTGACAACCTGTCTCTCCTCGAGCGATCCTGCAATCATCCTGAATGAACTAAACTTATAGCTTCGAGACTATTGTCTGTACAACTTTCAAAGCAAAGGATACACAAGGGATACGTTACCTCTTTGGTGAAATTGTCTTCTGTCATTATGATATCCAGCAAGTGAGCAGACTGGAAAAATCGCAGGTCAAATGTGATGCATCAATAGAAAAGACTCGAGATGGGACTACCGCTGAAAAATATATCGTCGACACTAAAGATAGAAAACCATGTGGCATGGTTTTTGGGGTAGTAGTGATAATTTTTGGCAAACGATGGAGGATTGGAGGAAAACAGGAAAACTCGAATTTTAACTGATCGCATAACATAACCTACAAAAGTATGAGGGGGGGGGAGGAGGAGAAATGTTTAGTTAAGAGCTATCGGCTAGAGATCGCAGCACAGTCTACTATTTACATTTTAGTTGCCTCTGGCCTCTGGTAGAAAGTCAAGGCAGAAAGTGAGGTTAGGATAGGATAGGTAGGTGGTATCCAATCCAGCCGATTCGTGATTATAAAATTATCACTATTATCTATCAACTTACCACTCAAATATCTCTTTCTTTCACCTTCAGTTGTCTCCTCGTCTTCTTTTTGTTGATTATGATCACGGTCGTATAATTAAAACACGAATAGCCGCATTTTCAGGTAAATGAAGTCATCTCCATTTCAGTCGTTCAAGTGACAGTCCCTTTACTCTTTTAAAATTTCTGTCCCTAATTTTTTATGCATTTAAAGAGTGGCATTTTTGCATAATCAAGATGACTTACCTTGGTCATCCATCCATTCTAATGCAGCCTAATTCAGAGCTAAATTGTCAAACTAAACCATGTGAGACTGTTCAGGGGATGGTGTAACATGCATTGAGTACAAGAAAGTCGCAATGTACCGGAGCGCCGATGAAGTCAATCCATGAAAGGGCCATTCCGAGCCCCTTGTTCAGCGGAAAGTGGGAACTGTTCGGCATTTTTAAGACGGTGGCATATTGGAGAATCGTGGGCTCCAAGTGGTTTTCAGGATTTATTAATTTAAATCAATCATTAGTTCCGCGAATTTGGCAAATTGTGTTCACCGAAGTCATAATAAATCCTAAAATGTACAAAGTTCCCGGTTTTTATAAAATCAATTTTATACCTGTATTTTCTGAGCGAAGACCAGAACTGGGACCCTGCGCATCCGGCATCGACAGTCGCCGCACACTAGTCTAGTAGGAGCACTGGACAAAACAGCCTCAGAAAATGACTTCATCGGCGCCCAAGAATATTGCGACCCTATTGTACTCTCTACTATGGTAATATGATGTTAATCGATCAATGTTATCTGTCTGGCTAGCAGCTCGACTAGCCATGTGAACGTGCCGTAACGTACGTTTCCATATTGATAGTGAAATTTGCAAATTACATGAGGAAGTTGATGTATCTGGATTTGAGACTTTGCAGCTAGTTTTCTTGTCTTATTCGAGTTTTTCTAAAGACTTGCGCTAAAATGTTAGAATTGGGGAGAGAAAAGAATAGACAAATGTCACATCCAAAAATTGCACCGTTCTTAATCTATAATTTGTTATATATATTGATGATATATTTTAAAATTTCATTTAGTCAGATACTGTTCTTTCAGAGAGAGACAAAATACCCTCCATTTTGAAGCTAGTATTTACTGTAAATGCTTAACTGAAGACAACTGATACAAGCTAACCAAACTCACTTGGCGTGGACTCAATTATTTTATGTCAAATTATCTTTAGTTCATCAGAAAAGAAAAGAAGACAAAGATAACAATGAAGCACAAAAAGAAAAAAGAAGACGAAGTATGGAGTAAGTGATTGTTAAGAGCAACAACTACAGCCAGTATTGAGAGAGGCTATTACTCCAGATATTAGATAGACACTGCACTGTTCTATCTCCTATTGTCTATTCTTTGCTAAATAGCAACATCTGACCTTGCCATCAATTAGCGTTTTTCAATTTTAATCCCTTAAACTTTGATATTTTTTGTTTTTACAATGGCTCAGACAAGTTTATGGAGAGTCTGTGTGCCCCAAGAGGGAGTGTGTCTGTGTGTTAAAATATGCCCCATAGTTCTTTGACATCATTGATTTACCAGTTCTGATTTGCTTATTTTCAGAATGAGCTGGTTCCCCTCTTTGGCAAAAAAGATATTCAACCCACAGTTGACTTTCGTGCGTAACCGGTACTGGAAGGATCGGCAGGGAGCAGGGCATTTGCTTAAACGTCATGGTTACGAAGAAACAATTCATAAAGAGGGTCTTTTACCTCGACCAGAGCCTGGGGATACGCAACGCTTAAAGGTATTGCCTATTTACAGACCAAATGATACGTGGGCAGAGCATAAAGCTCTGTTTGGTCAGAATGATTACATTGATATCTTAGGGAATGAAAGGGTGAAGCCACACAAAATCTTGTATAATATTCCAATGTGGTTGAGAGGAGTTCGAGGAAATGAGTATCAAGTAATTTTAAGAAAATACAAAACTTTGGCCCCCGGTATTTATCCAGTAGCCCGCCCCACCAAATGGCATCAATTGAGATTCAGAATCAAATATCTTAGCTTTTTCCTCAACCGTAAGACAAAGTGGCCTCTACGTCCAGGCATTAAACGCTAATCTATCAATTATTAAATTTAAGTCAATCCTCTTCTTATGTAGATTTTTTATTTCTTTCAGAAAATAAATTTCAAGTTTTGTTACAAATACTCATTGATTCCTTGATGAAATATTTTACTCTGAATTACCTCTACTTTGACTGCGTTCATGCTCAGTCGTTTTGATTGAGACTGGACGCAGATTTGATACGACAGAGATGCCTCAAATCGAGTCTGGACAGATATTTATGCAATGTATTAAACTTGCCTAATTTCTGGAAGGTTTCATGCAGTAGTAAAATGGTTATCAATCATTCTACCTATATTATTCTATAAATTTGACGTTAAATGTGTCAGACTCTTCCCTAGCCTGTGTCACACTATCAAAGCTAGCCATCGAAATATGAAGGTCAGGTGCTGTGATTGGCTTGTTCGATGACTTGGACCAATCATAGCACTTGACCTTGACATTTTGATGGAGTATTTTGATTGTGTGACATAGGCTCCTGTATTTTGCCTTTGAAAATTATATAGAGCCATCAAATTTAGAAGCTCACCCAAAATTCAAGCATTCTAAATGCAAAATTTTTCTTAGGAAAGGAAGAGGCATCCATTGCAAGGAGCTACTTTTTTTCTATGTTCCCCGATGAGTATGAAACATTTGAACAAAGCGTTAATGAAATTAAAAGGGTTTATTCGTAGAAATTTTTACAATTTGATACAAGTAGGCTTGTTACATGATAATATAATAAATTGTTGAAATTATTTATACTTATTTACTCTTCATCATGTAACTGACATGTTTCACAGTTTTTGGTAATAAGGATGGATTGTTACAGAATTTTGACAGGGGAGGATTTTAAGTTGTAACTAATAATTTAGATACTACGTACATACAATTAGCTTTTCTTCCTTTTTTTACTATCACTCAGGGGGCATCAAAAGAAAAAATGTCTGCCACCTTAATAACATAAAACACACTTGTTAAAATAATAAAATTTAATACTTAAAGATTTAAATAATTTACCCTCAGAAATCAGAGGAATCCCAGGCTTTTGTTTTTGCCTACTTTGACTTATTCCTAGTCATACCACTGACCAACATTTTTTTAGTTAACATTATCACAAAGTTTAATGCACGCTACTATCATAGCAGTGTTATTATTTCTCTCTTAATATCACAATAACGGATTAAACCGTATTTTGACGAATACGGAAAAGAAATGATTCATCGGTGAATTAATACGGAGTCCTGACCAAATGAATTTAAGCTCTCTTTGATTGTGACAGAGGATCTGCTGTCCTTAACTTAACATTGAAATTAAACAGAAAAATCAAGTTGGCAGATCTACTGTCTCACTTTGAAAGAGCGTAAATGTACTTGGTGATGACTTTAATTTGAGTAAAACTAATAGCATTTTGATGGTGAAAGTACTAAACCATATATCTTGATTGGCGACGTTGCTAGTCTCATGTAACATTTTACTTTCCCGCAGAAGGCCTGATCATTGTTTTTCTTATTGTATTTTGTTCGATTTTTCTTTGTCCTCTCAAAAATATTTCCTGAAAATTTTGCACACCTATATCTACTCTCTAGACGAACAAAAAAAAAAAAAAAAATAATAAAAAAAATGGAAGCGAAAATTTTCTTATATTGCATTAGAAATCTGTGGTTTAGTAGTTTCAAAATCGACTTGCCATCAGTCTAGCAACGTTGAGGTTAGGACACACTTTTCAATTACTTCAAAGAAACTGGGGAGCTCAAAAAACATAAAAAATCTTCACCTTATGAGTCTACATTGATGACTTGTGTCGAGAAAAGTGCATTAGGATTCGAAATGCTATGAAATTTCTCTGTTCAATTAACGCATGAAAAATCAAGCCCATCTAACCTAAGAATCTGAGAGGCGCATCATTGGAGACATGAGTTCATAACTGTCATTTGAGGTTTAAAAATTTCCTTGAACAAGTCTGTTGAACTGATAATTATTTTTCTAGACAACATATTTGGCTGCATGTTGCTGCTGATGCAGAGGAAATGCTCATAATTTTCAAGAAGATGCGATTAAATGCCTCAATGACCCTGAGATCGATTTGTCACTCAGATACATTTTACAAACAGGGAGACCTTGGGTCGCAAAAATACTGAAAGCAACTCAATATTATTAGATGCAAAGAATTTAACACACCCACACGAGGGTGAGGGCCCTTCATCAAATAGCACTGAGAGTTGAATTAATTGGATATATGTAGATCTGTCGAAGATTATCCTGAGAAGAAAAAAGTTAGAAGGAACTCAATCTCTTCGAGTCTTCTCTAAAATAATTTGTGATAGGACTATCCTAAAAGAGTGGTACATAAGTTAGGTACGAACAACCTGAGATTTAAATTTTAGAAAGAGTGCAAGCACATCGCTCCAAGCATGTTCTATACTTTTACTTCAAGTGTAACATGATGCATTTTTTCCATCAAATGACCTGAAGAGCACTAAAAATAAAACAATATTAGAGGAAACATCAAAAGAAGATCGTAAGATGCTTATGCACTCATAAGAACATAGTATAGTTGTGCATATACCCACCGTGAAAATCCCAAGCTAACATCACCATTTGCGAGTGGAAACAAAGAGACTTTCTATCACAATGTTTTACTCGAGTTGTCCTTGATAGTCATAATTGATTTTACTCTCCCTCCGAAATTATCAAGGTTAGGATACACTTTTCAATTATTTCAAAGGAACTGGGGAGCTCAAAAAAAAATAAAAAACCTCAACCTCCCGAGTCTAAACTGATGACTTGCGTTGAGAAAAGTGCATAAGGATTAGAAACACTATGAAATTTCTCTGTTCAATTGACGCATGAAAATCAAGCCCTGACGACTTGACTAAGGGCCGAGTACATAGGTAACTTCCTTGAATTTAGATCCTATGTTTGATTCGAAAAAAGCAATCATGTTATAACATTCCAACCGCATCAAGATTGAGAGTATCAACGGTGAAACTCCCAAACCATGTATCTCGTTTGCGGCACTTCAAAACCTCTGCCCCTTCTCCATTTTTTGAAGGAGAACAAATCAACATCATTACTTAAGGTTTTCTCAGAATTTGCTTCTCACAGCGAAGAGATATCAAGGAAGTTTTTGAGAGTTAACGTTGAGTAGTTTTCCGTTTGAAAAATGAAGTGTGACAGGAAGTCTGCAATGTTGCAAACCAAGATATGTCGTTTGGGAGTTTCACCAACGATTTGTGACAAAAAGCGCCTTATGTATGAGTCCTGAAGTTCTGAGACGACATAGTGGGTTGAAGAAAGACGTCTTTTAGTTTTTGAAAAAAACAAAAAAAAATTTTAGACAAGATCTCACCTCATGGATTCAGTCACAAATGCTTACAGTTAAACATTTGCAACTGACATAAAAAGTCTGTAGATGCAATTAAGCAGGCTTAGGGGATTTTAGCAAAAACATCAGTGGTATAGTATCATGTGGATAAAATAATATTCTATTAGGTAAGCGGTGGGTTATCTATCAGGTAACTGCAACAAACAGTGAGCAACAGATATCCGACAATTCTTGTTCCTAAACGTCTGGGTTTCTAAGGCTCTCTTCCGCTAAAAATATTTGCTTGGTTTTAATTACTGCAACTAGTAGATCAAACAGACTTTATTCCACCATTCTGAGGGGGAAACGACATTAAGTTAGTGAGACTCCGGAAAATCTTAAGCTAAGTCATTTACTAGGGGCAATGAATTTTAAGCAAGTTTAAACCAATGTGATCTTTTATAGTGTCCAAAAACGATGGTAAAAATGTGACCTGCAGTAAGGATTTCAAGACGAGAGTATAGACCATTTCACGAAACCTAAGACTTTTCATTCGGCATTAAAATCCGTAAATGGCAACGCATCAGTTCCAGCCGCGATGACCAGACCGCCCGCTGGACATCCGCGATTATGCAGCGAAGAGAGGTCTGCATCCCGTTCATATCGCGGTCATAAACAGATGCCGTTAATCAGCTCAAAATTAAGATAATTGGACGGAATTTTAGTGCGTTTTTATTATAATTTTGGGCTGGAACTAAATTTTCACGCCTAAAGATGAACTTTTCAAAGGCCAAAAAATTTCGGTCTAGGTACTAGGGCTCTTGTAGGAGAGATGAAGGGTGCCCAATGTGGGCCTCTCTTCGCTGCTCAGTATAGAAGGTGTCCAGCGGGCTGTCCGGTCATCGCGGCTGGAACTGATGCGTTGCATTTTACGGATTTTAATGCGGAATAAAAAGTTTTGGGTTTCGTGAAATGGACTATAGAAAAATATTTTTAGGTTGATGTGAGGTCAATATTTTTGGTGAGAAAAGAATTTGGGACAAAGCTCCTTGGATAATTGAGTAGACTTCAGCTTGGCGCTTTTAAAGGGCCAACTTCCCGGGTTATTTATGATGATATGAGATATTTATTTTCTTCAACAGAGATGCTGTTATAGCAAAGTTTTGGTTGGGTATGGTAGAGGAGTTTTTGAGCGTCCAGAGATGACAGAAACTAAATTTAAGATGCGGTTGGTTTCAAAAACCAAAGACAGATACATGTGAAAATCATCTACTTACATAATTTAGACATGAGTAATGTCTCTGATTTTTTTAGATATATTTTTATGCTATACTGAAAATGGAGGGTTTACCTACGGAGAGAGAAATGTAATTCTATTACAAGTACAATATTAACCTATTACATAATAGCTACAGATCTTTCAGTGTTGCAGAAAGGGGTGGAAGACGATACTACTTTGAATCAACCTCTCAACAATCATGATAAATGGAGTAAATTAGTTGCTCAGTTCTGGTTCCATTGAATAAAGTAAAAGAAACAGAAAAATATTATGATGTAAATGAGTTACACATCCTGTTTAAGTTAAATTAACGGTGAAACTGCAAAAATGCGTATCTCAGTTGCAAAGTTTCAAAATTTCCGCTCCTAGTTCATTTTTAAAGGAGACCAAACAGACATGGCTAGAAATTTCACAGAATATCCTCTGCATAGAGAAGAAAAATCACCGAAATTTGCAAGGGTCAACATTCAGTAGTTTTCCAAGTAGAAAATAAAGTAAGACAGGAAGTCTACAATGCTGCTAACCGAGACACACATTTCTGCAGGTTCACCTCCAACATTCAGTTTGTGTCAGTTCAGAATCATGTTAATACAAAGTGACAAGAAATGATATTTATGAATGAGAAAAATCTAAAAACATGCTCTAATTAGATTACAACACTCAAAGATAAGTTGCAGAGAGAAAATAAAAAGGAAATAATAATAATAAAATGATAATAATTAGAAAAAAAAAACAGAGAAAAAAATATGCTGAAGCTTACGATGTTAAATATTAAAATACATAAAATTACCATAATACTTAAATGGTGGGGTTACATTGATTTGTTAAGGGTAGAACTTGATATTAACATTTTCAGATTTGCAGTTTTGCGCTGCACTTAATTGTTTTTTTTTTCGGCTTTGAATTCACTTTTTCTTCAGTGAGCACGAAGAATAGTACAGTACAGTACTGCTGTGCAAAGGAAGAATGCTGCATAAACATCCAAGAGTTGCCGAATTTCCTCCAAAAAAATATACATTTTTGAGAAATGATAGAGATATTTTCTATTCAAATTTTCAGATAATTTAGATCTGATAACAAAGAAAATTCTCTGAAAAATTTGAGGCAAAATATTTACAAACTTCCCCGAAAATTCATTTTCCATTAAAAGTGTCAACATCTGAGGGCTCATGCGACTTTCTTCCTTAGCACGGCAAAGCAGCTTCTGTTTTTCTTATGATTGTCTGAATTGAGGGGTTTTCTTTGAGTAACTGTGAAGAATCCAACCAAGCAAGATTTTCGAGGGGTTAATAGACTTATGTCAATTACCGCATCTTTTAACTGGTTAATTTTACTTTCTACAGTAAAAACACAGTAACTCTTTTCTTTTCTATACTTTACAAATTTTCCATTGACAAAATGCTCTGCTGAGTCCATACGTTTTCAGAATGGTAGGTTTATATTAGTGAGAATTCATAATGAAAAAAACTGAGCACTGATGATCAAGTATTCGATTCTGCCGTGCTAAAGAAGAACGCTGTGTAAGCCCTCAGACGTTGCTAAGTTTCCTTTGATACGATATAAATTTCCAGGGAATTGTGTGACTATTTTTCTCCGAATTTTTTAGAGAATTTTAAATGCAATCAGTCCTAAACTATCTGAAAATTTCAAGAGGAAATATTCATAACTCTCCTTAAAAATGAATATTTTGTTGGAGGAAGTTGGCAACTCTTGAATGTTTATCCGACGTTTTTTCTTAGCACAACAGTATTAATAAAGTATATTGTCAGCAATAAATGATGAGATTTAAATGGAATCTACGGCGTTATTGCTTTGTACAGCCGTACACTTCTCAATTTTTCCTGGAACTGATGTACACAGCAAAAATTAGGAAGTAAGGAGCAAATCAGATATTTTATAATTGGAATGCATAATGAAAAAAAAGAAGAAAAAAAAACAGATAGCGTTATCCTTTTTATATCGCTCAAAAACTGTTGATTCGAATTATTGGATTCAACATATAGATCTGAACTATCAAAGAGTTACTGAATACTGCGTTGAGATTGAATGGGATCTGACAAGGGACGTCATGGTCCTGAGAGAATATAAATTTAAAGTCTTGAGCCCAGTCCTCGAGAATAATAAAAGAAAGTTTTAAAGAGAGAAAAATATTTGATAAGCTGAAAGGTTTCCTCTGTATAAGGATAGATGGAGGGAAGCCGCACGCTTTCCGATTAATTTAGGCCAAAAAATAAATAAAATAATAAAAAAAAAATTTAAATAAAATAAAATAATTGATAAATTCAGACAGGGGAAAATATCTTGATAAAAGATTTTAATAGCACCATAACAAATTTCCTATTTCACCAAAAAAGATCTAAAAACTAAATTTCAATTCGATTTTTGGACGATATCTTTTCCCCGAGAAAGGTAAATTACACTTTTCTGTCAAGTTCTGTATTCTTTTGAATTATATTTATTAATAAATACGTCGCCAATTTCATTGGATCGACAAATTCAACTAAAATGTTTTATACTTACATTTGTAGTAAATTAAGCAGCTTACTTGGCAAGAGGCAAAAAAAAGGAATCCCATGGGACTTGCACTCTTATTCAGATAAGCTGTTCAATTTATTCAAAGCTAGACTGCAAATCAAAATTGAAATTTACTTTTGTCTTTGCGCGTTTTGCTCCTTTATAAAAACTTTAGTACATGCCACACTGGGTACATGAAAAAAAAAAAAAAAACGCTTTAAAAAAAAATTGCGAGGCTACAGGTATTAAAATTTTCCTCTGCAAAATAACAGACTTGCAAGAATAGTGTACAAAGTCAAAACAACGAGGAATCAGCGCCTTCACTGCATTTATTTTCTTTTTTTTTTTTTCATACTGTATGAATTTTGGGGATCAGAAAATTCAATAAAAACACAGCTGTTTGGTCCACTACGGAGTCTCGTACAATTTAGACACAAAAAATTCAAACTAAACAGGAAAATTGTTTCAACCATCATGCTACACAATTTTTCTTATTTTCCCATTCGAATTACCCCTCTGATGCCGTGATATAGAACAAAAAAGAAATAGAAATAGAGAGACCAGTTGTGCCCTGATTAAAGAAAAAGAAAAAAAAAGAAAAAAAAAAAAATTAAAAACCTGCAGTAGGCTGAGTGTAAATGACTGGTAATTTAGCATGCATGTTAATTTAAAGTAGAGCCCTTTCAAAATAGAAATGTAAAAAAGAACATTTTTTCTATTGACTTAATACTAAGAGATAAATGAATGGCTTATTTGAAAGATGTAAAGGCAAAACGGAATTCATTGCACTTGCACTGATTTTACCAAAAAGCCGTTCATTGCTACTTCAGTGAGGATTTACATATTCTAGAAAATACTTATGTAAAATATGAGACAGCCAAGAAATAAAGTAACTGGAAAGGAAGTGTTCAAGATGCAAGCTAATCTTGAAAAGTGTCCATTAAGATCTAAGAGGGCGAGATCTGCGGACAGATTTAAAATCCCGTTTAATAAAAGATCCATTTGTAATGGTACGTCTGCAAGGCTAAGTTTCGGCAGTGATGGTGTAAAATTAAACATTGCGCTTAAAATTAAGACACTTGGCATTTTGTACAGGCAATTAAAGTTAGAAGTTGATGAAATCTTTCCTTTAAATTTTCTTTCTAATTTGTGAGAGAAATGTTTTGGTTTGCATTCTGAAACTTGAGGTTGAATAAAAAATGTACATAAAAGGGAAGGCAAAATGGTAGAAGTGCTCGTTTTACAGAACACAAGGACGTACTTAGAACTAAAAAAACTGCTTTAAGGAAGTCGTAGTAGACTTCATAATTTTGTTGAAACCGGATAGATAGCTGCTACAAGCAGGGAAACTAAAAACATAATTGAAGTAAATACATAGTCCATGCAAGGAGTGGACATAAAATCATTACGAATCTAAAATTGTTTTAAAAAAAGCACTGGAAAATCAAGCTTAAAAAAAAAAGGGGGGGGGACAATGGTGAAAAAATGAGGGGCGAGTTAGCTAGTAGAGCATCTTCAACTCTAGTGAGAACATTATAATACCAATTCCTCTTTCTTCTTGTGTTCATAAATTTCCTGAATTAATTAACATGGTCAGCTTTTTTTTTAATTATATACTGTGACTTGCATGAATCAAAATATTTTGGAAACACTGTACAAGTAGATTAAACTGTGTCTTGATTTACACTTTCAGAGGATCACTCCACTACAGTTGATTGTTGACTGTACATGGGGCCATGGTTATGGTTTCATAAAATTTGTTAATCAAAATAAAATATACATGATGATACCACAGTAAAATCTGATCCTGACAGACTTTCGGCAGTCTGTGCATTGAGAGAGGACTAGATCTCACTTTAATATTTTTTTGGGAAATAAACCGATATATTGCTCTAGAGAGAAAAACTGCAAATAAAATTTAAAAGGCATTAGATAAAAAGATTTTGATAATTACAAATTGTTTTGTAGGAAAGATAGAAGAGTGGTTTCGTAATGTTTACTAGCATCTAAGCTTCTCAAACTATGCCGTTCATTGGGGTATACCTGTGAACAAACACAAAAAAATAATTAGGAAATCATACACAGACGATCATAAAAAGTAGGTTGGAGAATCAAATACGTTACAGGATGTCTACTTAAATTTCATCTTAGATTTTCCTGATATTCCCTTGATGCTACAAATTAAATTTCCTGATTTTTGGCCGGAATGAATTGAAATTCGTTTGATTTTACACATCAGATTACTTAATGAGTTGAGTCAAATGTTTCACTTTTAAATGTGCTAAACTTCATGTAGATGAAAAACGCTTGAAGCATTTGGAATTTTTTTATTCAAGACCGATTTTCCATATATTTTCCTAATTTTTTCTGAGGACATCAGATTTACCGATATTTTCTGGTTTTACCAGTTTTTCCTTACAGTACACACCCTGATAGAATACAAATGGGCTGTGGATCACCATTGTCAATAAAATTGGGTCCTTTCAACACCCATAATTTTTTAATCATTTATTATTTTCACAATAACGCAACGTAAAACACATACCTGTAGTTGATACGGTTTTCCTTGTCTCACGAGAGCATTGATAAGCTGACAGGTTTGGTGGAAATGAACGTTCTCATCAATTAGGCCGTGAATTATAAGCAACCTATTCTCTCTGAAAATAGTAATTAGAAATTATAGACTTTGGGTCTGACATTTTTACTTTTTTTTTTATTCAAGAGAGTGGAATAAATAAAAGTTGACAAGGATACGTTCATCAACAAAAAAATGATGTTTTACTGTGAACTTCAGTGGAGGAAAGAGATAATTACCAATAAAAAGTTGAGAAAAATAAGATTACTACAAACAAAATCTGTCAAAGTTGTTTGCAATACAAAGTAGACAGGCCTAAAGTCTTGCGGGCATTTTCTAAGAGGCTGAAAGAAAATTAATTCTGCCAGAACTTATCTATAGTAATAAAGCTTATTTTAAAACTTTTTGAACGCCAGAAGAACAGTTACAACGGTTCATTCTTTATTTGGAAAATGGAGCAGTTCAGTCTGTATAGCTGTTTTTTGAACAATACGTTTTGAATAGAGCTGCTTAACCCTTTTTTTTATAATTCATTATCACAGAGTACACACAAAAAAAAATGAGACTGCCTGCATTTGTTCATTTTCCATTTAATTATATTATAGTTGAGAAAAACATTCTCAAAGTGGCCAAAAATCCATCCCTGTTCCAAACGGAGAAACACTGCGCCAACAGATCTCGTGACATTACGAGAGGAATTGGTCACGTGCATCTTTTCGCCTGCATTGATCCATCCGTAAAAGCACCTACCCGCAGAGCCACTAATGGCACATGCTTTGCTTATATTAGGAGCCAAATATTGAAGTTCCTTACTACAAAATTTAGTCCAATTGTAACAAGAGGCTATACAAGTACATATCTCAAACACACTTGCAATAATATCGCTGTTTGCATATTAAATAATTTTTTTAAAAATGAAATAGTTTATTCCTAAATTTAATACTATGGTGGTCATGTTGCATTGGATTCAAGGTGGTTAAAAAGCATGGTTCATGGCTTTAGATGACGTCATGAGTTTCCGGCTAATGAGAAAAATTATTTTTCCAGCCTCAATTTCAAGCCTTTTCATCTGAGTAAAAAAATCGGTTTTCATCTTTTTAAAAGCGGAAACGCTTTTCATGCCAAAATTTACAGACAAACACCCATTTCTAAAGCAATTCTAGGATCTTACAGCCACCCTATTCAAATCAAGAAAAAAAGGTTTTCTCACAAAATTAAAAGTGTGAGCAACATACTGCAAAATGTATACAATTTAGGGGAGCAAGGGGAATTTAATTATAGAATTTGCGATATGATAGCAGGAATACTTTTTGTTGCACTGGAAACAGTATTTCTTACACCAGTTCGTGATAGATGTGATTGGCTTTTATGTGATCAATGACTGAGATAAAACAATTTTTGCTGTCAGTTCACCGAAAACTATCATTCTCCATGGCAAAATTTAACATCCTTCGTTTTTACACCGACCCCACTTTGAGAATTGCAACGGGAAGCTATCAAATGCAGTAATGAGATACTCACTCATCAGGGAATTGACTGACATAATTCAAAATTGACCCTGCTTTGTATCCCACTGCATTATGTTGAGGAAGGTCCATGTATCGCTCAGTGTAGCCAGTATCATACAAGGTCCATGATGTCACTGGCGCTCCAGCAACAGCTATCTACAAAGACAAACAAAACACTATGACTTACTAGACCTAACAAACACTATCAATTGTTTAAAAAAAATAATTCTATGCATTTTTATGAGATAATAGCCCTATTTAAAGAAGCTTCTATGATGAAATCAAGGAAAGATAAAAGTTTGAAGTCAATATCACTTAGGTCAAGTTTCACAATTTGGAAGCTTAAGAATATATATGGCATATGGGCCTTGTTTCGTCACCTTATGCTCAGAATATCACAAGGACTTTTTCTGAAAAATTGGAAAGTAGAGTGATTTTTTGGCTTTAGAACTTTTCTGATACAACAGTTTGGCTATCAAAAGTTCTTATTTTTGACTTTTTGAAAAACAACTATCATCCATTGTTTGATTTAAATTTATTAAGGAAATGAAAAAACATAGTTATCCCAAGTGCCAAAACAAGTATTACGTGCGTCAAAATGGACACTTAACGTTACTTTTCTCCTTAAATATCTAAACCAAATGATGAGAGTGATTCTGAATATGTACACAAAATTTCAAGATTCTGTGGTGTTTACAACAGCCGTGATTAACGTACTGGTAAAAATAAAAAATTTGTGGACTTACTTTAAAGATGTGAGGATACTGAGCCAGGCCCATCAGAGTAAGATACCCACCATATGACCAACCATGAATAGCAACTCTATCCATATCAATGTAACCTAAATTTTCGGCTAGCCACTGAAGCATTTCTACTTGATCAGACAGTTCCACCGTGCCCTGAAAACCAACAAAAAAATGGTCACTGGTTCCATTTTATAATTCTTATGACAGTTGCTGAGGTTTTACTATTCTTTCATTTAATTTCTTCATGTTATTTCTTCATTTTTCCATTCCCTGACTTTCCAAGACCCTGGAATAAAACTTTGACTTAGTTGTTTTCTTTTTATTCATACTGACTTCTGTTAAATGCTGCTGCAAAACTACTGCTGGAATGTGCAAAATTCCTTGACTTCTTAGGTTTTCCAGACAGTCATAAATCCTGTAATTGGCACACTCAATTGGAATTGAAAACAAGTATGGTGAGGGATGACGAACAATACTGTCTAATTGACAATTTTGGCAAATATTAGTTAGGGACATTGCCACATTCTACAGAATAGAATACGCAAGCTGATGATTTTAATTTTTTTCCAATTCTGTAGGGGAGCGCTGCAATGACACTGTAATGTATGAAAAAATTGCAAATCTAACCTTAAAATTACAAAAATGGCAAAGTTTTCTCTTCGTTCTGCAAACTTGTCGGTTTGCAGATTGCAGATGATAGGCTGGTGATTATCGTTTGTTAGCCATCGATTAGTGCAACATTCACACATGAGGTATTGGAAATGAGTAACAACTAACTTACTTGAGCAAATCCAAGCAAGTTCAAAACCATCTCCCTTTTTGTTTCAAGGGGAGTTGTAAGTCATCTTTTTTCAAAAACGTTTTTTTCGGGTTTTTTTCCTGATCCAATTTGACATATCCACAGGTGTAATTCGAGACAAGGTTTTTTTTTTTTTTTTTTTTTTTTTTTTTTTTTAATATAGGTTATGAAGCGTTACGTGATGCACAAAGTGACATAGACTTTTTCTTCATTCAAAACTTCACACAAATTTTTCTCAAAAAACCTTTTTTATCCTTAAGATTCACTTCTCTCAGGATCTACTAGATGGATTTTCGAAAACCTTTTTTGTTAATTTTTTCCCTGACATAAATCTTCAACTACAGATAGGAGGATTTTCGCTTTCAAAAAAATAAGTTGGAAGGCTTCATTTGCTAACTGTTTTCTTATTTCTTTAAACAAATTCATGGATTTTGAAGAATTCTTTTGTTTAAAGCTAGAAAAAAGTTTGAGGGATCAAACAAAAAAAAAGTTTTGGAAAATCCGTCCATTAGAACCTGAGATAAGTATACCATAGCATTAGGAAATTTTTCATGGTGAAGATAGGGACCAACCACTCTCTTTAACTCGAATTAATTTTGTGTTTTGTGTCTTCAAAAAAAGGTTAATTACGTATGAGAAAGTAGGTTCATTTTTCATCTGCTAAAGAAATTCTCGCAGATCCTACTCTCCTTAATAACAAAACGACTTAAGATGAACAAAACATCGGTTACTTACCATTCTACCTTTAAGATGACTTTCAAATCTAAGTCCCCTATGTTGAGATCCTCGAGAGTCGATTGCTACTACGCAATAACCTTGAGCCGCCAGCATGTGCATCCTTAGATTCCGCATTCCCTGATGAAAACAAATCATTACCAATGTGATTTCTTATTCAAACCTTTAAAAAATTGCTAACCTACTCAAAATAAATTTGTAATAAGTATTTTTCAGAAGTGAAATTTGATGGGAGGGATGAGAAGAGAAAGGCCAATAAAATAATTGTGACTTACTTTGAAAGTGTTGGATACAAGTTGGACTTCAGGTCCTCCATATACGTGCAATACTGTTGGGAATTTTTGACCGGGAACAAAATCATGAGGTTTGAAGACCATAGCGTAAAGGTAGTCTCCAGAGGAAATCTCATGAGTGAAAATGTACGGACACTGAACTGAATCATCAAGGACTTGAAAAACAAGAAAATGAAAATATTAATGTTGAAAAAATTCAAGTCATTTATACAATGGAAAAAAAAAATCCGGACATGACGAAATTGCTCAACTTTTATGAGATGACGTTATAACTTCACAAATAAAGGACATCTCTTTGTAAAAACTGAAAATTATTTCATTGATACCAAAGTATAGAGAAGTCTCCAGCAAATTGTTTGGGACAAACAACACCCAAACATGCCACACAAAACCAGATTGAAAGTGGTTTGAAATTTAAAATTCAAAAAAAGGATCTCTTGAGAAACATTACGCTAAGCCCTGTTTCATTTTTTTGGTTCAACGGTGAAAGGCAGCTACATTAAAAATAATTCAAAACACATTTCTACTTACCATGCAGTAATCTTATGTGAGAACTAACTATGATTGCTGCATCTGCTTGCCACTCTGAAAAATGGTTAGCTTTTCTCTAACTCATTTCGCAGAATGGTCACTTTCCGCAGATCAGTAGGTATCAAAAATTGATGACCATTCTGATAATTCTACAGAATGGGTTGGATATTGACCATTCTGTAAAATGGGGCGATTACATTGTTTTAAATTCATGCAGCTTTTTCTTTGCTTTAAAAATACTAAAATTATTCATGGTGTTGAAATTCAAAAGATAGTTTCCCTTTAATATTAAAAATTTTTTTAAAAAAAAAAAACAAAAAATATTTGCTACCAGCGTATATTTCAGATGCCGGAAGGCGATGATGCATGATTTTTACAATGCAATTACTGCATTGTTTCCTTGCTGCTCTAATTTCGATTTTAAGTCAATAATCTTACACTACTGCAAAAAGGTCTTTTATTGAAAACTCTTGATGTAGATCAGTCTATTTTATACCACTCATGGTATCAAAATGTATTTAATCTTTTAGAGAATACTAAGGATAAGAATCATTGTTTTATTGTTACCAGAGGGCTCCAGCAAATGGCCGACAGGAATTAGTTCTACTCCTTCAACCGTGGAATCTTTATGCGCAACTCTGAATACATGACAGGCGGGAAGTTTTGTAATGCTACTGTATACTGCTACACAGACTGTACAGTCCTGATTAAAAAATTAAAAGTGTATTAAAAACAAGAACAAAAACAAAAAAAAAAACCCTGAAAAAATCAAAAGATCGAAATCAAAAAGTTGACTTATTAACGACACAAGCTCCTTTCAGTTTGAAGATTTTCATTGATACAATTTTGGGACCATTTTATTGGTATCTCAGCCCCGCTGTTTCTTCCATTCCTTTATTCTGTTATCCATCCTCAAAACTAGCATTACTTTTTTTTGGGTAAATTTAAAGGCAGGTCATCCTAAATCAATTATTTCTTGTGGTAGTGGCCAAACGATTTTATAGTGCGAAGAAAAAACTTTGCCATTTTTGTGATTTTGTGGTTATATTTGCAGTTTTATTTTATAAATTACAATATCATTACAGCGCTCCCATGTGATATTGGAAAAACTAAAAACATTAGATTGCTTGTTTTGTACTGTGGAATGCAGCAGAGGTGCTAACTCATATTTTCCAAAATTGTAAGTTAGGCTGTATGGTTTTTTAGCTCTTGACATGAAAGAAACTAGTTTCCCTTTTCCTCTTATTTCAGAGTTTCACTAAAAATCCAACCGTTTCGGCTTGTTCACTCCCTATCTGGCTGATTTTCATCGATTGATCGTCAGTTGATTTCATCTGTTCTTCAGGGAAGGAAAGAGGGATGGAGGGGAGGAAGAGAGATGGAGGGGAGGAAGGGATGGAGGGGAGGAAGGGATGGAGGGGAGGGAGATTGACCAGAAGAAACGAGTAATACTTGCACGATTGATTTCTTCATTTCAGCTACACCTAGGCTTTGCAGAGAGCACTACTTTTTAGGAATTTTAGTGAGCAAGTAGATCAGAAATATATCTGACTGACAGAGAGCATCACTACTCTTTCCTTGATTTTTTTTGTCAGCAGAGACGATTGATTGAAAAAGGTGGTAAAGTTCATGCATTTACAAAGTTCAATACATAAAAGGTGATCCAAAAGACCTGCACCACCAGCACCAAGTATCATTCCTGTAACTTTTAGAAAAACTGAGATAGAGACTTGAAACTTTGTGAGTTCTTTCAGATCAAAGGAAACGACTTCTGGTAGTTTCCAAAATGTTGAGGGGATCACCCTGAAAAAGGGCCAGAACCTAAGGGGTTTACAGGGATAGTGCGGAACTTTTGGATCACCCTGCATAACTGGAAATAGCAAGGTAATATATTAAGGGAGAAACAGAGCAATTTAGACATGATTAGATAAATAACTGATACATACTGAGTTAAAGTCTATTGAATATGAAAACCCAGGCTTCGTTAGTAACCGAACATGGTTGGGACGAAGAAGAGAAACTACGTAAAGGTGTTTTTCTAGAGGAGTCTCACGAAGAGCTAGGAAATACACTAGTTGATGTTCTGTGTCTACCCATAAGTTACGCCCGATCACTTCCCAATTTCCGCTTGTGAGGGCCATTTGAGAGACAACAGTGCCTGAGAAAACGAAAAAAAAAAAAAAATAGTATCAATGTAGATGAAAAATATTACAAATTAATCCTATCTCTACACTCTTAAATTATATCATTCTGCAATTGGTACTCAGTTTCATTGATCATCAAATTCTTTTCTATATTAGCTTCAGTTATGAGATAAACAAATGAGGAAACAGAGTATAGGGTCAGTGGCTTTTGGTTACAATTTCTTAAAAGGATATCTCGCCAATTAAAGCAAGGATATTGATAAGGGTTATTTTTGGGCCCACTTGAGATACCTGTAAATCCACGATTTTAGGCTCATTAAATGTCTACTTTTGATTGAGTAGGTTGTGATTTGGCCACATTTCACCTTACGAATCTAACAGTGACTTTAAAACAAGTCTAAAGACCAATTTTGACCAAAAGTGATGGTTACTTAGTATTCATTGCTCTCTTTCATAACGACTCTGTCGAAATATTGCGAAAAATCCTTCAAGTGTTGACACCAGGGATATAAGAGTCACTTTGGCCATTGCTAGTTGAAATTGAACCTTGCCCTCATCATAATTGAAAAAATATTTCCAAATTGTTTAGTTTTTCACCAATATTGAAATTAACTGAAAAAGAGCAACTCACCCACACCAGAAATAACTTTTTCAACAAGGTTTGGACTCAGGTAGTTGAGAGCATTCTCTTAAGCACTTAGTTTGATTTCAAGCCCATCCCCCAAAAAAGGGCCTATTTTATTCAATCTTCATCAATGGAACCGAGATATTAAAATGTAAACTTCGTACAATTTTCTACACGGCTGAGCAATTAGCTCTTTCTTCTAGTAAGAAAGAGCTCTTTCTTACTAGAGAATTAGCTCTTTCTTACTAGAAGAAAGAGCTAATTGCTCATTCTACATTTTTATTAGAACTTCAGGCACAGGTACCTTACTGGATGTCTAGGGTACAAAAAGTTCCAGTTTTCCACAATTTTTTCCGATGACTTTCCCCAAAATTTTTGATCTTTTTCAAAAGTTTTGTTGCATGTTAGTGTGAAGGTGGTGTGAGTTCCAAAGCACAATAAAGTTGATGTGCTTTTTTGGATTTAGTTGAAAAGAAAAAAAAATTGCAGTCGGAGATCTTCTAAAATTCATTCCTAACTCTGACAAAACTAAAATGGCTATTGATATGGGTAAAATTAGCATACTTTGTGCCGTGTCCAATCTCTCAGCAATTCCATTTGTTCGGCAAGGTAGAAGACTTGTGATTAGATAAAGATGTCTAAAACCTGTATCTTCATTTGCCCAAATGAAATCTATCTTCCCGTCTCCAGTGATTGGGAATATGTACAGCAAATCATGGACCTGTAACAAACCACAGAGCATTGTCAGCAATAGAACCGAACAATCAACTATGGTCTCATTCCACTACGAAATCTCAAAATTTCTTTCATACTTCATAGAGTGCAGTGGGGAGAAGTATGGCAATCAAGTTAGATGAGAAGACATTGATTTTAATCAAACAAAGTGAACTGATACACTAAGAAGTAACTAAAAGAAACTTACGTTGATCCACACATCAGATGTTTGGACGCAGATAACTTGAGCTATGGAAGATGGGGGCGCTACATTATTTTCTATATGATAGACATTAGGAGGAGGTTCTGTAAAACTTTCAACAGAAATAAGTACAAGTTCTAAGCGCTGCTGTCTTCTATCCAATATTTGGATCCAACACCTGAAAAAAAAAAAAAAAAA